ATATTTCCACACAAGCGTATACACAAGGCTACATGGATCTCACCGGACCACACTACAGAGAACCAAATACATCATACTTGCATCAAGAAAAAATTCCGAAGGACAATGGAAGATGTGAGAACCAGGAGAGGCGCTGACGTAGCTTCAGATCACCACCTAGTTGTGGCCAATTTAAAACTGAAGCTAAAAAAGAACTGGACAAGTGGACAAACAGCACTACAAAGGTTCAATACAGACTTCCTTCGAGATACTGACAGACTCAAAGAATTCAAGACAAATCTTAACAACAGGTTCTAAGCCTTACAGGATCTACTGAGAGAAGAAGAAACTAATATGGAGAACAACTAGAAAAGTATCAAGAAAACATTCACTTCAACGTGTCAAGAGGTTCTAAGCCTAAAGAAACGCCATCATAAAGAATGGATCTCTATAGAAACACTGAGCTAGATCAAAGAAAGGAAGAACAAGAAGACAACAATTAACAACAGCCGAACACGAGCAGAGAAAGTCCAAGCACAAGCTGAATACATAGAAGCAAACAAGCAAGAAAAGAGGAGCATTAGAACTGACAAGAAGAAGTACGTGGAAGAACTAGCAACGACGGCAGAAAAAGCTGCTAGAGAAGGAAATATGAAACAGCTTTACGATACAACGAAGAATCTATCAGGAAAATACAGTAAACGAGAGAGACCGGTCAAGGACAAAGAAAGCAAGCCAATCACTGAAATTCAACAACAGCGGAACAGATGGGTAGAATACTTCGAGGAACTCCTGAATAGGCCGGCTCCAATGAATCCACCGGACATCGAAGCAGCACACACAGATCTTTCTATAGAAATCAATCCACGAACGAAGGAAGAAATCAGAATGGCCATCAGACAAATCAAGAGCGGGAATGCAGCAGGACTGGACAATATTCCAGCTGAAACTCTGAAGTCAAACATCGAAGTAACTACAAACATGCTTCACCTTCTATTCAAAAAGATATGGGAGGAGGAACAAGTGACTATGGAGTGGATAGAAGGACATATCATCAAGATTGCAAAGAAAGGAGTCCTAAGCAAATGTGAAAACCACAGAGACATTACACTACTGTCAGTAACATGGAGAGTCGTTAACAGAGTGTTGCTGAACCGGATGCTAGATGCAGCAGGCGCCCAACTTCGAGATCAACAAGCTGGATTCCGTAAGGATCGGTCGGGCACAGACCGAATTGTGACACTACGGATCATCGTAGAACAATCGGTTGAGTGGAACTCGTCACTGTACATCAACTTCATTGAATACGGAGGGCATTTGACGATGTAGATAGGAGAACGTTATGGAAGCTTCTTCGACAATATGGAGGTCTTGAGAAGATTGTCAACATTGTCCGGAACTCATACGACGGACTACAGTTCAAGGTCGTGCATGGGGTGCAGCTGACAGATACATTCCAATTAAGGACCAGAGTCAGACAAGGCTGTTTACTATCTCCATTTCCTCTTTCTTCTGGTGGTCGACTGGATTATTAAGACCTCCACATCTGAGGGAAAACACAGCTCAGGACCAATTAGATGATTTGGACTTCGCAGATGACCTAGCCCTCCTATCACATGGCGAAACTCTGGGAGATGTGGAATTTTCCACGTACCCAAGAAGCATCATCGATGAACAAGGAGGTTCAGATGAAGACGTAAAGGCAAGGATCGGCAAAGCAAGAGTCGCATTCCTACAGTTGAAGAACATATGTAACTCAAAACAACTTTCAACCAATATCAAAGTTAGAATCTTCTATACGAATGTCAAGGCAGTTCTACTTTACGGAGCTGAAACTTGGAGAACTACAACAACCACCATCAAGAAGGTACAAGTATTTATAAATGGTTGTCTAAGGAAGATACACAACATCCATTGGCCGGATACGAACAGCAACAGCCTTCAGTGGGAGAGAACAAACCAGCTTCTATCTGAGGAGGAAATTAAGAAAATACAATGGAAATGGATTGAACATACACTACGCAAATCGTCAAACTGCATCACGAGACAAGCTCTAACATGGAATTTTGAAGGAAGGCGGAAAAGTGGGAAGCGAAAGAACACATTACATCGGGATATGGAAGCAGATATGAAAAGGATGAAGTACAAGTGGAAAGATTTGGGAAGGATTGCTCAGGACAGTGTTGGATGGAGTGTGCTGGTGGGTGGTTTATGCTCCTTCACGAGGAGTAACAGGCGTAAGTAAGTAAGCTATTTGGTGTTTGTAGTTTCTTTGTAAATACAAAGCGTCCATGAAAAATTGCATGAAAGTTAGAGAATAAAGGGAATTGCTTACAATGAGTAGGACTCTTACGGCTCCTGTTCCATTTACTTATTGAACTTGATCGTCGCAACGACGTTTAACCATTTGTTTCATTATTGATATGTCATTTTATAGAATCACAATAATTAAGGTCGGAAGCTATCCATATGTTTTCTGATATGCGACTTACGACTTTTGTCAACTGCTTGAAAGGCTGAAACTTTCTATACCACTGGACAGCTTAACGAAATTCTGCCTATAGAAAGTCACATGAAAGTAAAATTCACAAGTTGACGACAACTGTGCTTGTTCATGTGATGAATCATTCAAATATAGATATAACAAGTATGCACAATCTTGAAGTTCTTCGCAAAACCATACAACAATCGAAGAATGAGTAGCATCTCACATCCCGTGGAAGCGTGGCAAAAGTTTTATTCTTTTGCACCATTATTATTTCTAGTATTCTTGCAGATATGCTGCCACAGTGGAGAAGACTATATGTGTGGCACAGCGTTTTAGTGAAACTTTCGAGTAATTTAACGGGTCGACTGAAAGTTTATTTTATCTTACAATGAATTAGTTATACCTTAAGAACATGTAAGCTATTACTCAAAATAAGCATTCCATAGCGCTTGGAGATTACGCGAACAACCACATAAAGTCACTTAACTGCCGAATTAAATAATGTGAAATAGATCGAGACGCGCTGTACTTGCGTATGACGGAGGTGCATAGGCAGAACAAAAAAAGTGTCCACAGGAAAAATAAGGAAGAATTAATCGGATCAACTTGTCCTTTAGACGTTCAGAAAACTTTGCTCATCCTAGCCAGGCATTTATCTTCAGAAAATACTACTATCGTACAAGTTTACACGCCGTGTAATCAATTCTTGGAGTCTATAGGATACCCAAAGGAACTTACAGAAGAAAATCATTACAGGCCGTCACTTTCTGACCTCGTCACACAACTTCAAATCTGAATATGAGTTTTTATCCCTTCACATAGCCTGCCTGAGAGAAAATGTAATTAGTGTGGGGATACATTAGCTGTTAAAAGTCTACGGGAAGTTATTTGGCAGTTTTCCAGTGAACTTTTTGATTTTGATCTAATTTCTTTTGTTTCGCACAAATAACAATGAATATCTAGTTTTCTCTGCAAACGTGAAATAGTACATTACCACAAAGAACGAGACCGCGTCTTATTTTGGCGATAGAAAACGACAATGATAAATAGGACATGTTTAATGACATCAAGTTTGAAGCACTATATGGTAAATTTCGCTCGTAACTTCATTGGTTCGTGGCCATATGATCTTTGAAGCTGAGCGTGTAATTACTGAGATTCGCATTAAGCATGTAGAGCTTAAAGAAGGTCAGCACACGGTGAACCCAGCAACAATGAATAAAAATGGCATGCCTCGATCGTACATATGCGTAATCTCTTGCTTCTTGTATCGAATAGATTACTCTCTCCTCAGTTTAAATGTGTTTTTCAAAAGTGCTAATCGTCATAATACTCGTCGTCACGTAGGAAGAGCCAGCATAGTCTGTGATGTTAATTTCACGCGAGATCTTAAAGGTTAGATAATCACACCATCACAAATCTAAAGCTTTAGGACTAGGTCTATTATTACGGTATCAAAGACATACTATTTTACCGAACTAGACCGTAATTCCACAAGCTCTCTCGATCATCTGCTATCTTTCTACTTGCTTCAACCACAATGTCACATCATTCATTCATTTTCAAACCAAGAACTTGCAGATTCACCAAAAATTGTTGACTAAAATGGTTAAGGGTAGCTTTTTAGTCTAAAGTGTCTTTTAGGTTACGTGCTATTCTCACCATTTTTCTCGATCAAAATTAACATCTTGTATGCTTCCTTTTTTATTGACTTATATTATATCTTTTAACCCATTAAGTCACATGAAAAAAAAGTTTGCAACCAGTGGTTACAATCTAACTATAACGACAAATAGTAGACATCTTAACTGAAGTTAGGATAATAAGTTGAAAAGCCCTGTATCCAGCAAAACGTTGGTAAGAAAGTTCGGAACGAGACTAGGCAATGAGAACATAGGCCGAGTCTCCAACTAAATGATCAGGATCGCATTCCTACCAATGCGCCAACAGATAGCAAAAATAATCAGCAAAAAAATACAGCAAAAGAGGTTCTAAACTTCTGCTAACTTAGCCTACTGTGAAGGTAGAACACAGCGATAATTGAATCGCATATTTATACTTCGTTAAGTCCAACAATTAAAAATTTGAACGTAATTCCTATGGCAGTTATGTCCATCGCCTCTGTGATGGTGCAGCTTTCAGGCAGTAGTATTTCATTATCAACTACTTATTTATTTGTGGTACTTGAAACAACCGTCTTCTCATAGCATTCAAATTTTCTCTATATCATTTTTCACATTAAAACCAACTATCTCTCTGCCCAGTAATTTAGTAGCTGCTGAAATCCCAAAACCTTGTTTCTTTGAGATAAATGCACTCACGTCAACCACAAAATATACAAACACACAAATAACCAAAAAACTGACAAGGATTTGTCCATCTGAGTGGTTGGACTACTTGAAGTTATACATTAACATCATGACATGTAACCATAACAAAAAAAAACGCGAGAGCTAAGAAAGTGGTCAGTTTATATAAGTTCATCACAAATATATTTACATTGGATCTTAAATTATATATCCAAAGCATAGTTAATAGCGCTGAAATTGGCTTGTGCGGTACTTAACTGTCAAAAAGGACCTAAGCTCCTGATATTGTCTGGTGTATGAGTGTAGTTAGTGCTTAAATGTTCTGTTACTTTCAGAAATCTAACTCATATTTTAAGAATTTAAGTATATAGACTTTTAGTGCTGCAGCAATCTTAAATTCCAGTACAATTTTATTTTTTGCGAGCCTTACTGAAACGGATATTTCATTAGCAGCAACAAGTCATACTTCTATTGTAACTCTCCGTAGAATGATTTTGGTTAGTTTAAGATTAACCATTCTTTAGCGGGATACAATTTGATTCAATTATATATTTCGTTATTTTTAGGCAAAAGCCCTGTCTCTTTGTCGTGAAATTTACTTTTGTGAAAAGTTTTTCTCAACCAGAAACAACACTTCCTCTGAATGAATGAGTTCAAATCGATTATACTATGTTCGTCTTGTCTTTTCTCAGTCCATATTAATGTCGTAATTGTTAAATTGATTACGATCATTTTTATCTTGTCAAGTTAAAACGGACTAAATTACTTAAACTTTTCATAAGTGGTGTCGATAAATCGTTAGGTGGCGTAAATTCGTAACTAAAATGAAACCTTTATGTTATTTACTATTTGATTTCGTTAGAAATACTAGAAAGTAAGACTACATCATACGCATCTCCTAATGCTTGCATAAATTTTAATCTACTCGACATGCTTATCAACATGCTGCTTTATTCATAACGGAACTCAATGAGCAGTTGATGTAAAGAGCTAGGACACTGGGAGCTGGGTTGTGACGTAAACGTCTATTTCTTATTAATATGCTAGCTTAAAATTGGTTATAAAATTCACTAAAGCATTATAAATGCGTTTTTATATCTTTATTCAATTGCTTAGAGTTGTAGGTTAGTGAATACATGTTTTAGCTTGTGCATTTTAATGCAAATATTCTAAACATTTGTTGTTGTGATTGTAAATACTAGACACCGAATTTTCGCACTTTGATGCTCTTAAGTAATTTAATATGGTTTCTAGACCATGATTTCAACCTGTGAAAATTTCTTAAACTCTCCACAAAACCCATTCTCTGATAATTTAATATGATGAAGTGGTTGGTGTTAATTTCAGTTAATTGGATTTCATCATTTTTATTCATTGATTATTTGAAATGACCTTTTTTCCTCGCGACAACTTGCTAACTCGTATCATTTAACTTCCTTAAAGATAGTTTTTCGAATCAGCTGGTTCCTGTAGGCGATCAGGAGAATATTCAAGTCCTAACCTAAAATAATACAAAACTGTGATATGAATTCAACTCCTTCACTTGGTAAAACGAACGGTCCGGACACACGATGCATTTATTTCGAAGACATCCAGTTTTTTTCTCCAAATATCGATATGTCGTCATGGAACAAAACTGAAGTAAACAAATATTTTCATGTTCTTGAAAACAACTCGACAGACTGTTTCACTGTCGTTAATATATCAATTCCAACCAACAGAGAGGGGATTTTATGGTAAGTTCATTTTACGAGGAGACCTCTTTGCACTCATTTTTCACTTGAAATCTCATCTAGTAGCTCTGCTTTATTAATTATAACCTGCGCAGTTTACTTGTGTCACTTTATCATGTGTAACTAACAGTATACACAATCTCGCTAAATTACCGCATTTCGTTATCGAAACGATTTTGTTAGGCACATTTGCCACTTTTACTTATTAGTCCATTACTTACTCAACCACTAGATTTCCTTCTTTGTATTATTTTATCTCACTTTTTTCTAGCGTTACGGATTCAATTACCAATAAACAATTAATTTGTTTCCCACTCAATGAGATCAAAAACTTGTCAAAGGGATCCGACACCGCAACAGCAAATTATGTTTTACTAACTCACGGTACTTCACCATCAAATAACGAAGCGATAGACCCGTCTTCAGAAGAGCCATTGAACATGTACCTAACACATATATTACGTTGTCCAACATATCATGGGGTAACTCTAAAAATATTTTTGTTGTCTCTGGTTTTGTAATGTAAACTTTCAACTACAACCTGTTTATGATTAAACTGCTTATGATAGTTTTGGTTCACGAATCCTGGTATGTGGTGAATATAGTAACTGCAGTGGAAGCAACCCAAAGTTATGGCTAAATTAGAGTTGTCATCATTCGGCTTTTTGCTAGATTTATTTGGATAAATTTTTCTCTTATTAATAAAAGGAGCTTTGTATGTGGTCGTATCAGGAACTTATGTAGCATGAGTCGCACCTATTTTCTATCAATATTGAAGTATGCAGCCTTTTGAGAAATCTAGTCAACATATTTATATGACAAGGAATTTTTGTGGATATTACAGTAATTTCAGTGGTTCAGTTTAGGTATCCGGTGATCCAGTCGTAGGCCAAGGTAAACCTAGAGGCTGGATATACCTTTTCTGGATACATAAGTTTGGTTTTCTGGAGTTGACCAAGGTGGCTTCGGCTATGTGGAGTAACCGTAATCTAGTTCCTTGAGGCAGATATTTTGGAACTTGATATAAAACAGAAAGCTTCCTCTATTTTGGTATGATATTCACTATCTACTAAGTGAGAAACGATAGTGCTGTTGATCGATTTAGTGACTCCTCTTCCCAACCATGGTGGTCTAGCTTCGATTGACTCATGATGTCGACCATTGAAATATTTTTATGGTGTTAAGAAAATTTATCGAATACTAGGGACAGAAATAGGCGGTTCTCTTTCTGTCTATCAACATACAAGATCAAATACTAAGTAGTTAGTTCAACAGGTACCATGGAAATATGACATCATTGTTATATGATCTATAAAGTCAATCAAAAACCAATATCACAGTTCCAAACGTCGCATCATCTTTTGTTTATTTAGATACCCAGGACTTTCAGTTCCTTCAAAATATATTTTTTTTGATCCCTTCCCACTTACTTTGGTTTGGGTAGCAGGCTAGTATCACTATCCCTCACGCTCAGAGTGTGACTCGTATTCCAATACCTGATTGATGAGTTAAGTTATTTTCCATTATTTTTCTTCCTCACTCAAACCAACTGTTTGTCAGAAAAAGATAATCCACGTTTTAAAAAGATTTTTTCATTTACCTTATATTTAGTTCGATTTATAATCACTGAAAGTAAAGAGATACGTTAAAATTCAAGAGTCAAATCATGATATTTTTTATGAAGTAAAACTAGTTTCAAAAGTTTTGTTTAATTCGATTCCTTTTTGAAAAAAGTGACGTTAATTTCTTTGCCATTAAAATTATAATTCGAATTTTTGTTTAGACGTTGAAGATAATCGATGTCATCCGTCGAATCATTACTGAAGAAACTGGATCCACTGCTACTATGTCAGGTGTGTGGGAGCCTCAAAGTGTTACGTAAGTCATTTCCATCTTTAGAATGCTGAAAAACCTATATGATATCAAGAATATTATATCCTTGTAGGAAAAAAATAGGAGCCTTATTACTGTGTACTCAATAGTCTCAGGACTTCATTTACTATTAACTGAAAATATAGCTCTGAATAACCGATCGATCGATATTCCTACATTCGAACACTGTATAGGGATTTTCGAGACGTTAAATTCGATTGCTTTGCTATTTTCCATATTTAATCATTGGGATTTGACGTCTTGCTAGATATCTAGTCGAAACATGTCCAAGCTCCATGACCAAACATTTTGTATATTGATGATAATTTTCGTTTCTTTTACGGGCATTTGAAAGCTCATATAGTTGATTAAATGTGCAAATCAAGAGACACCTGTAGACAAACAGTTATTTAATTCGTTACGCATTTATATTACCATTCTCCTTATATTGAAATCTTATTATTTTGATCTTATTTCAAAAGAACTATGTGTTGTACAGCCTTTTTTCTGATCAAGACTTTTGAGTTGGCTCTCATGCTTTTAAGAACTTGTCAATGAAACCCACCTACAATCTATCATAGAAATGTATTACCACCTTGAAATTCCTAAGTCATATAATCCTACCCCACAATCAAACATATGTTATAAGTAAGCCATTCGGAACTAAACTGAATACAGTGATCAAACACTGCTTAGTACTCAATGCTAATTCTAATTTTCGATTTTAAACTGCTTCTCTTTGATGAAGTTGGCAATGCCTATTTACAAGAGTAAGAAATTCTACATCACTAGTATCTGTTCTCTGTTAACTTCAAAAATTTATTTGTAGTTTGAATAGTAAAAGATTATTTCCCATATTGTCTACCCTTATATTTAATTCTCATCCTTAATAAACATGATCTAGTTTACGTTTACATTTGGATATAAGAGAAGATGACGGATCGAATGTTAACTTTACTCCTGTACCAAAAGAAAAATCGGAATTATTTAAAATGAGAAAGAGCACAGCTAAACGACTATTTGTTGGTGTCAGTCAATTAGACGGTCATATTTATCTACCGATAAATGGGTTAGTAGATTTATTTTTTGTTAATCATTTCCAACTTATTACGTGATTTGCTAATGCTCACTAGTCATAAATACATGAGGTAGTTTATCCAAAGATGAAATTTTGTAGATGCCTAGTAAATCTTAACTGGGATTTGTTTGTGACCGATTAATTCAGTTATTTTATTTGATATTTAGAAAAGCTAAAATACCATTCTTTTTTAAAAATCCTTACTTATAAACTATTCGAATTCATTGTGCTACGACGAAGTTACTAATCAGATTGTTGTATGTGACGTAAGTATTCATAAAAATGCTGTTCTATTTATTTATGCCTCAAAATTTTCGTTATAAAATGTCGACTTAACTGCTGCAGCTGGTCATTATTATTGTTATTAGGATGTCCTGGGGGAATAATTTGGTCATGATATGTTTGTCGACCCCAATAGTAAATGAATACTAATGTTCACTTAGTTGAGGGTTCAAGTAAAGAGTGGTTACTCTAATATACTGGCAGATGGAATCCTTTTTAATGCGAACAAGTCATTATTTAAGCCCAAATTAGTAACATCAGTGTAAAATAATTAACAATGAGCTTTTTATAAACATAAGACTAATGAATTTATTAATAGTAGGCTTGGAAAGACTTATCTTAATAAATCCCACACTTTATAACGAATTAAAGCCATAACGTTTATGAAACGTTCATATCATAAACTAAAATAATAACGAAATATCAAAATGAATGTGCTGGAGTTCATATTCAACTATGCTTAAGTCGAATGAACTGTTTGTGTAATCTTGTGTACACTGAGATGCTTTAGTCTTCAGTTCCTTTTCTGTATCCACAAAGTTCACTGCTAGAAGCAAGCGGCAAACATAATGGTCATTTTAGTTTGCTTTCTAAAACTGTGAGATTATAATCATATTTTAGAACCTTGAAGTTTTAAAATCATAATTCATAACCGGTTTTCACAATAATAAAACGTAATTTGAAAAATTCTAAGCATCGATATCATTATCTATTTAAGCACTATGATTTCGGTAGGCTACTGTAGATATCTTTTCAATAATATTTTTATGCAAATATTGTGATCGTAAAGAGCTAGTTTAAAATTTACATATTACATATTAACACTAAGACTGTGCTATTTTATTACACCATAAGATTCTGATAATATTAATTCCATAATGATCAGTTTTAAAATGTGGATATTTTTTCTCATGGATTACAACGTATGTATATGATATACATTAAATCATTTTTATATCATCTAGAATTTTAGACGTATGTTTGGGTTTTGGTCGTTATCTATCGGATAGTGAACTAACCTATTTGGGAGGTGAAGAAAATGTCACACGAGGAGAAGCATCATCTAATTCTTTAAGCGGAACTTCATTTTCTACTTGGGTTACTTGGCCATCAAATCATAATCAATTCTCTATGTTTGATGTCGTTGGAAGTCGTGGTTAGTTCTTCATTTGTTGATTTATATGTATTTTTCAGGTCGATTATGAAGATTATATAGTTATATTTGCACTGACTGTTTATTTTACGATATGTATATGGTATTTCGTAGTTTTCCTAATGAGCGTATATACCAGTCTTTTTTTAAGTCAACCTTCGTCAAATTTCCACATTGAACAACATTTGCTTGTAAACTTGTTTTCGAAACTTACCATTATCATTTTTCCACCGTTTCTACCCATGGTAAGATGCTATCAGTGAAAATTAATATTTCAGTATCCAACCATTATTTAGAATTGGAGCTTATGAGTTAAGTTGTAAAATATTACTGAAAGTCTAAAAAGACACCATACTGTTTCTTTTCTAACTTACTAGAAAAGTAAAAATCTGAAGGTCTTTGCGAATTTTCTTTTAAACTAAATAATCCCTAAATTTATGTACATCTTTTATGTTTCTTTCGTATATACTAGTTAAAGATTGTGCTAATTATTTTGTTACAGTTTAGCATACTGTAATTTGTACAGTTATGAGTTTTTTATGCTACTCAACAATCTCCACAACCCCATACTGATAATCATCATTTGTTTACTGGTGACTAACTTCGAGGAAGCATTTCCAGATTTCCCGTGCAAAACCATCACATGTAGAGCTAAACTGTGTCGATTGTAAGGTCCACCAAAGTCCGTGAAAAATGGTGGTGCAATGTCGTGTATTTGCTGAAGTTAAACATTAACTTCGTTGAATCTGTACTCAATGGTTTAGGGGTTAAGCATTCGTGTACAAGACCGAAGGTCTTGTGTTCGAGTCGCACTTTCATAATCTTAGATGTGCACCGCTGAAAAGTCCTATACTAGGACGAAATGGTCTTCCAGTGCTCCGAGGTTTTAAATGGTGGTCTAACTTAAGTAGGTTCATGATTTCTTCGAATTCAACAATCTCCAAAACCCTGTGCTGGAAAATCTTGATCATATTTATTATCAACATATATTGCAAAGAAGTGAATAAATTCTGAATATTTTAAGACTAAGTGTTCATGCCATAAAAATTTCGTGATTAACCATCATGCTATAACAATCCTGCATTTGTTAGCGTATGTTGGTTAAAGTGCAATCGATGTTTTATCGATGAACTACATGAGTATCATATTTCCCACCTGCTTTACTATAGCTAACAAATCAGAGGTCATAATTACGGTTTTAAGTAGGAAGTTAGCAATTAAGTACAAATTGGTGTAATCAGGTCCAAGCCGAACATCTTACTAGTTGCTCTAACTAAATCAAATTCAGCGGGGTTCAGACCTGAAATTCAGTGGTTGAAAGTCTAGTGCTTTAATTCCCCCATCTGAAATACCGTGTCATTTCAAGAAATAATTGTTCTCAAGAAAAGTATCAACTGTTTTATTAAACCAAACGTTTTGTACATTGTTCCGTTATGTAAATAGAAGACTACGTGCTCTTACTTAGATTATAAATTTTCAGTTTTCATAAACAGGTTATATTTAAATGATCCGCATGTCATAAATGGACCTCAATGTTTTTGTTGAAATGAAGCCGAAATTTTAACACTTTTTTCATCTATCATATGTTTTTCTGTAGATGAATGTATATTCTTCACGGTTGTTGTACGCCTACTTATCCATAGACTTGAAGAACCATTAGCTCTGCGACGAATCTGCCGAGCGCGTGTTTATAAACCAGATGAAATATTTTGGCTCTCTTTAGATAGAAAACCTGTTATAGAGGATTATACTATTAAATTAACTGAGGTTTGTATTTTGTACTACTTATTGTATGCAGTTGATATTAACAGATGTTTTCGTATTTGATTTGAGTCTTTGTTTTATTGTATCAACATGTTTGTCATATATTACAGTGTAAATGAAAAGCCCAATGTAGGTAGTTGAAAATTCAAGAACGGACTCGTTTGTTGATAACTGATTACACCACATTATTTGAAATAGTGTCAACTAGACAAATGAGTATTGAACATTTTATTGGTGTGTTTCAATGATTTAGTCACTAAATTTTTGATCAACTACTCAAAATTTAAAAATACTGTTCACTCGCTCAAGTTTAAATCTTATCCTTCACCTCAAAATACATTTTTAGCTTACAATCAAATGATTAGATTTCTAAGACATTCTTAATTTTCATCATTTGTTTTAAACTTTACCGATGCTGAATATTGAGCAAATGGATTTTCTTATTGATTCCACGAAATAAACCGAACTCACTTTCAGGCTTAGTCGAAGGAAGCTTGTTATTAAAAAATAAACGGATTAATAGTATGATGTTTTCTATTTGAAGAACCAAATTTTTCGTGTCAGTCTTAGCAGTAGTATTTATTCGAATTTTTTCCCAATCATTGTAAAAACGAAGATTTTTATAAACTCGTTTTAAGAAAATTACGTATATAAATCGGATCTCCTCTTTATCATATCTTACATGAGCTGTTTAACCTACTGTTTTATCAGATATTAGTATTATTAAGTTCATACTCGTAAATTTTTGCACTCACTTCATAGACATCTACTCTGGGATTGTTAAGCTAAATATTTTCAAAATACCCCGAAATTTCCCAACGTGATACTTAAAAATCATAGACTGTTATTGTATTGTTACTAAAACGTTTGTCTAAGAAATATTAAGTTTCTTCTCTTTAGATTTTACTTCAAGATGTGTATATTAAGAGATGAAAATAGAGCCATATAAGATCATAATCGCCATGTACCCTGAAATCTTGTCATTAGTGTATTTAGCTAAACAATTCGAAAGCTTAAAGTAATTTTTTTGAGAACAGTTATCGTCTACTACTAGTTTGGATTTGTTCATTTTGGTTAGTTTATATATACTCTCTGGAAAAAATATACATCCAAAAAACGTAATCTATGGCTATTCAGTAAAATATTTCTAACCTCATTTTTAATGCATTCATTTAGGCTGACTTCAGTATTACTAATATTTATTTAAAGATAGCTTTCACTGCAAGAAACCGATAATGGTTGATGAAGTTTAAATTTTTTTAGCACTTCATATTGTTTTGACTGGTTTAATGATAAATATGTTCGAACTTGGCGTCAACTACTTCAGTATTAACAACAAAATTAGTTTCACTAGCTCTTATATCTAATGATGAGTTACCTTTAAGTATCTTAATTTACAACTTATCTATTCATTGTTCTAGCCAGTTTTTTTATGACTCTTAAATTTCGAATAACCATTTTTAAAAACAAAAAACAAATTATCATTTTAGAGTATAGATGAAAACGGAAATTTACACGCTGGTAAAATACAGAAAATTTTCAATGTTACTGCATTTCATCCAGAACATAATCAATCAATTGTTCCATCAGTTGTTAATCAAGCTGAAGGTAAATTTTAATCATTAGTTAACCAATAATAAATTAACCTAGTACTAATTATAACAATATTATTACTACACTTCTTATTGTTTGCATTCATTTTCCATCTACTAAAATTAGTATAATGCATATGATTTGCATATTTCACCTGGATTAGATCTAATAACAATAGTAATGACCTTAATATTTCATTTTACATGGTCAATATTTTCAGCTGTAGTTTTTTGTGTGCTTATCAATCTTGTACTATTAGTTAATGCATGAAATTTACGTGCTACACGATCATAGTGTTACGTACGGTTTGTTAATTCTACGTTTTAAGGTTTTCCTCTTTTATGACCGCTTAGTTATGGTAAAAATTGTCATTGACTTTCATTGAGTTGCATGAGTCTAATTGAGACATTAAATGATGTTGCTTTAAATCTCTAAGAAACCATCACTCACTTCAGGATTCCAGATGCATTTTTCTAATGATTCATATACATCAGGAAATGCTGTTTGAATCACTTAGTTTATTATTCAAATTGTAAATACGATCTATATAATTTAATCAGCCCTAAAAAGTAAACATTAAATCAATTACTAATCAGGATCAATCAATTCAAGGTTTCTATTGTTTCGATTTCTTGATCATGAAGTCTTTAAATTCATTTTGAGAAAAAAAACGCCCTAAAAATGTAAGTCTTGTAGTAATGATTGTAATTAGAAATCTGTCCTTCTACCTAACTGCACTGTAGTGCCCTAGTTCTGATCATTATGGAATTGAAAATATTCATTGTCTTTCTTAATGGCATAAATCAACATTTCATATTTGTAGTTGTAATCCATTTGGAAGAAAAAGATCAATTTCTTACTGTCAACTAAGATTAGTTTTATGGGAAATGATATATTAAACGTTTGCTATTACTTCGATGTTTACCAGGTTTGTACTTTTCTACTGTATAAACAAAAATCAGAATAAATTTATTGGTTTGTAGAATTTTTTTTGGTTGTTTCAAGTAACTCATAATCAGCAATGAGATAGTCTTGTTCTGAGAAACATTCATTAGTTCTTTGCATCTGGGATATCTTCCAGTCAAGCATTTTATTATTTTAAATTAATTATTAATCAGTGAAGTGCCATGTGTTAAATGGTGTGTAAACTTAAATCACTAATTCTTTTTTCTGTACTCAGTTTACTCAAATCATGTGGTCAATCAAATTTTCTTTGGTAATTAAATTAACTTAGATTAACTTTGAGAGTTTACTTAAAATGTGATATATTTTCGTAGGATGAGTGTGTGAATGGAAAGTTACTAGGTAGGGTTAAAGTGTATATTAATCTGCCATCTACTATGTGTGGTATGTTTTCAAGTTATTATCAATTTATCAAAAATATATTTTGGTGTCTTTTACTAGATATTTTTGAAATGTGACGTTTCAAGCGATATAACATAAAATGATTACAGGTAGTTAATCACTGATGCTTTTGATTTATTATCAAGTAGTGAAGTAAGGGTGGTTATCTTTATATAGAATGTGTAGATTAATTGGTAAACTTGAATAAATTTACCAAATAAAATAAAGGGAGTATGTATCATTTATGTTGATTTACTTGTTATTTCAATGCTTCATTTTTATTTGGATAAGATTAAGTGAGAGAACTTTTCCTTTAAATCTCAAATTTATCACCGCTTTATAGTGACCATTGACTGTAGGTTCAACTCATGCAGACAAATATAAAATTTGATAACTTATTTCAAAACTTATCGTACTTTGTTGAAAATCATTCACATTAGTATGAAAATATTTTTTTATATTTAACGATAAACATCGTATCATCATATTCTTATACACTTTATTCATCGTTTATCTTGTTATTTTATTTATGTATATGAACAAATTAAATATTGGTACAAAGGGGCACCAGATATATATGGGCAACACAATAACAGTGAGAATGTGAAGAGATAAAGAATGTACGGTGCGTATAAGAAAAAGGAAAACCAACACGAACAGAAATTAGTGTATGATAGTGAAATAATAATAAGGGGAGAAGCAGTTCAGTTAGAAAAGGTACAACCAGAAAGAATTCTTCCAGATGAAGAAGCAACGTCTATTCTGAACCATATCTGATAACGTCTCTATCCACTGTGTTGCACCGTCTCTAGGACCCCAATCAGGGAGTCATGAAGAACCAACAGATGCCAGTCCTTTGCATCTTTCTTTCAGAAAATAGTGCACGACGTGGAATTCTCTAGGATAACATTCGTAGAACATGTACAAGCCACAGAATTCGATGTTTCAAGATGGTGACACCAATTACATTATCGTCTCTGCGCCCGAACACACAATACCGAATCTCTGCATTACTAACATGGTGTTGCCAGTGGATGTCAGCAATCCTTCGGAGACAACGACAACACCACCAGCACTTTCGCAGCCACCTAGGTTCACGAACTTCTTGACTACTTCTATCTGCTCACCATCCAGGGTGAATGCAGGATCAGGGTTTCGCCAGTCTTGCAAAAGTACTTTTCAATTCCAAGGTGCAAAGCACATAGCATACCTACGGACACTGACTGCCAACTGATTAAGTGCGAATTGCATGGTTTGGGTATTATCTCACAGTAAGATAATATCATCCGCATACTCGAGTTCGAGAAGCCTTTCTCCAGGCAGCAGATCCACACCGCCATTACCTACATCTATCAGAGCTGTTTCCAGAACGTCATCGATGTCAAAGCTGAAGAGGAATGTTGAGATTGGTCAACCTTATTGCTTGAATGGAACAATGTAGAGAGGTGGTTTTATGCTCTCACTCTGTCTGAGGGGTTTCAAGCTGTTAAAAATCTCAGGCACACCCTTCTTCAATAGACAACCCCAAAGAACACTCTGTCCAACGAATCGATGGGAGCCTTGATATCATAGTGATTTTTCATGTAATGCCTTAACTTCTGGTTACTCTGATTTCTTGAGTTTTTGCCATCTGTAAAAATCGTAGTAATTTGTCAGACAAGTAACTTCTTAATCTCTAACAAAGATTTCGAGCAATTGAAGATGGCCCATGTACACTTTTGTAATAAATGCACAAATAAGAAAATCAAAAACCGAACAACTATTGTCAGGAGAATACAAATCACAACTACTGCATTGTGTAATAAGAATTATGTGCTGATTCAATAAGCCAATCATCAGTTTCTACTTTTTCGGACACCTTGAACCGTCTGGATCTTGTCCTCCCACGATTATATGCACGATTTATATGCATAACAAAGATGTTTCCTCATACGCTTTACTACATATAAATAGTTCTCTATACCTTGCAATTGCTACTTGTCTAAAAATTTGCTACGAGTAAGACATCAGCTTAATAGATAAATACGTTTGATTTGTTAGGTTCTGTTGACGATATCTGTGTCCCGAAATGCTATCTATGGTGATTACTTCTACGATGAACCTTCAGCATAAAGTCCAGGTTTCATAATGATTCTTATCGACATTGTCGAAGCATCGAGGGGTCACTTATAGATGACTTTCATAAAATAATCAGAGAATACCGTACTTTGATAAATAGTCGACTGTTTCCATATATACAAGAGGTATATATATGATACTTTTACGATCTGGGACGAAAATAGCGAATTCAGTAACATCCGTCGGGAGCTCAACAGCTGGCATCAGTCAATTAACCTCACACTGGGATCAGAGGCTCCTTCAAAGTTTCACTGACTAAGTGTTTTGTTAGAAAGAAAGTGAGATAGTTCTCTGCAAATATCTATATATGGAATGCCAACTTGAAACACTCAGTCTACGAATTTCCATTGAGCGGAAATAGAAACTTAATTTACTATCCTTAAACTCTGGAAAATGTATACTTGACATGTAGTGTCGGTTACTATGTTAAGCCCATATGATTTGTTCCATCTTCTGGACAGGCCAGTTTATCCATCCCACTTGAGTCACGTTTTGACCTTGTTAATTATTCACTTATCAACCCTGACCGCTCTTATACTATACGAGCGTATGTGTGTGTACACATCTTATCACATTCATCACATGTGATTAACGCTTGGTTAAATGGAGTTGGCTCACATGACTTCTCCACCGCGCTTCATTTCGCTTCGCTAGAGGACAGTGAATTTAAGACGTGGCACTATGTAATAAATTATAATGATGTTAAGCTTATACTTAAATTGAACAAGAAGGTGGTGTTACTTAATGGTCACACGTTACTAGAAATACAATAAATTATATTGTAGTTTGATTTTTATGAAAATTCAAGATCATCTAATGTTTACTAAAAGATTCTCCAAATCTCTTATGTATAACTCCTCTCATTCCAATTATCAATATTCTAATCTTATTTTGTCGAATTTGTCATATTGAATCTCGTTTACTTACAAAGTCCTTTTTTAATGTAGTAAATAAAACTAGTAAAACATCATGTCGCTAGACTTCCGTTGAATATAAACACTTATTCAGTCTTATTCTAAACAAGCAACATTATTAGTTGAACTTCTGTGTGTAGCAATTTATTTGATTTTTTTGCCGACATTTAATGATATTATTTACTGTCGCTACTTATAGTGATCTGCTACGCCTTCATGGTTGTTCTGAGCTAAAATCACCGAAATATTCTCTTAAAGCATTTTAAATTATTTCTTTTCTTCATTAACCTTCATTCCAATGATCACAAGCACAATTCAGAAATTTTTTATTGATCATTCGATGTGCGATAATGCCCAAGGCATGCAATCCGCACTTAATCAGTTGGCAATCAGTGTCCGTAGGTATGGTATGTGCTTTGCACCTTCGAAGTGCAAAGTACTTCTACAAGACTGGCAGGATTCCAATCCTGTACTCACCCTGGATGGTGAGCAGATAGACGTAGTGGAGAAGTTCGTGTATCTGGGTAGCTGCATAAGTGCTGGTGGGGGTGTGAGTGATGAGATCAATGCACGTATAGTGAAAGCCAGAGTGGCTTATGCCAATCTGAGCCATCTTTGGCGCCTTCGTAATGTTAGTCTGGCTGTAAAAGGTCGGATCTACAACGCGTCGGTGAGAGCAGTTTTGCTCTACGCTTGGGAAACCTGGCTTCTACGAGTTGAGAATGTTAGACAACTCTCTGTGTTTGACCATCGTTGTCTCCGAAGGATTGTTGACATCCACTGGCAACACCATGTCAGTAATGCGGAGGTTCGGCATCGTGTGTTTGGGCACAGAGATGATAATGCAATTGGTGTCACCATCTTGAAACACCGACTTCGGTGGCTTGGACATGTTCTATGAATGTCGTCCCAGAGAATTCCACGTCGTGCATTATTTGCCGACTCTGGGACTGGTTGGAAAATGCGGAGAGGTGGTCAGTGCATGACATGGTGTCGTGGTATGAAAGAAAGCTGCAAAGGACTGGCTTCTGTCGGTCCTTCACGACTCCCTGGTTGGGGTCTGAGAGTTGGTGGTGCTACACAGTGGCTAGAGACGTTATCAGATATGGCTCAGAATAGAAGCCAGTGGCGATCCTGCTGTAACCTTCTTTTACTTTCTTCATAAAAAGTGGTTGTGTCTCCCTTACTTGAAAGATTTCTTCTGATTGTACCTTTCCGTTCCATCGTTACGACCACACTACCTTACACCAATCTCTTCGCTATCGTTCTTTTTCTTTTGCGCTCCTTAGTTTTCTTTTCTATCTCTCTTCGAATTTTCATTGTTTTGTGTGGCGCATATATATTGGCGCTCTCTTGTACCAATATTTATGTGTTCAAATAAATAAAATAAATATTTCTTCTTTAACCTTCATTACAATGATCACAAACACAATTCAGAAATTTTTTATTGATCATTCGATGTTTTTTTTCCACTAAAACTTTGTAGAGCACTGTTTTCAGTTTTACCTTGCAACTAAATTATACTGGACAGCAAAAAAAGTACATTACAACATGATATTTTTTTCCTATTAAAACAGTTGTTACACTTGTAAAGATTTTTAACAATCTCTTTTGTGCTGTGAACAATATCTTGATTATTGATCCATGTTTGTGGTCTTAGTCTCTCATTAAATCCTACGGTGATGACAGCATGCTAATTAGTTCAGTAGTAACAGCTGTCAATTTTAACAATGACCTCAGTAGGCATTACAATTACTGGTGCAAAAGAAATGATAAGATTGGAGAATTGTTTAAGAGCTTAGTTTCTTCGTGAATTCATACCTCTTGTTCTATAAGGTAGTTATTCTGAGAATTAATGTGGTTGTTTGCTTTTTTGAGTAGTCAGAAAAGCTGAAAATTAATATTCATCCGTTGATTCTTCAGTGTTTGTTATTTTCATAATCATTTATCAAACTTGACGAAAATGTTAGGTGGATTGTCATTATCAGAATAGACATGATATATGGAGAATCCATATGATCTACAACACAACTTGTATAATCTATGAAGTTTTCCATATCATTGTTTTGAGTGAATTCTGTATACACAGATATACTTGATTATCACTACTTATGAGAACACATACAACACTTAAATCTGCTTTTCGCTTAAATTCACAATTTTCTGTTGGCTTCCTAACATACCACAAAAACTAAGTGATGAAATATATCAAAATAAAGAACTATAGATCCAGTATAAATATTGGTATATTCATTACTATTCACTATTTATCTAATGTACTGACCAAGTAGTATCACGATGTAGTTCTCAAGCTCAATTATTTTTTCATCATTTATTAACTTATTCGTAAAAACTATAAATATTTTTCAAAATCTGCAGAACAAAATTGATCTATAAACTAAATTTTATTTCAGATAGTGACAATGAACCACTGATGAGCGGTAATGGAATTGTATCGAGAGAAGTTACAGATGATCAGCTACTTCTTGAATGGGGACATTTAGTTACTGAATGGCATAACAAAGTCAGACAAGATCAAGCTAATGGTCTCGGCTTATCTACATATTGTTTGAGAATTGAATTATTGTATAGTGGTTGTTCTGGTCCTCATATTTCTCATTTAGGTTCTGCATTTTGTCAACGAATTAGAAAACTAGTTAATCGTGGTATTCCAGATGCCTTACGAGCTGAAGTTTGGCAGTTATTATCTGGTTGTCCTGTTGATGAAAGTGGACTGATGGATGCTTATCGAATTCTTATTACTAAAGTAAGCTATTCTAGTAGTATTGTTTCAGTATTTTTTCTGTTGTACTTTTTTTCCTTCAACAAAAGAATACTTTAATCTGTTTAGTGTCAAGCGTTTAATTGCCATCCAATATCTTACAGAATCAAACCGTTCTCCTTATGTTTCTGTTTGAACAGCGGTATAGTTTCATTAGTCGTATTGTTTATATTAGCGGATACAAATTACCAATCACACCCAAATAGTAAGAATAAGAACTATCCACTGATTTCTCATTACCACGCAAACGGTGCCACTCAGATGACTGCTTTTGCTAACCAATATAGCCAAATTACTGAGTTACATGTTTTTCTCCTTCCTAATAACTAATATTTTCTAACCCACTGTTTTTCATCTGTAACCTCTAAGATTTTTGTGGGGTTTTGTTCTCTAATCTGGATGGTTTGGACGTGGAGCTTTTATTGTTCTTCTGAACAACGTCAGGACCAGCTTCCGGTAAAAGTAAAGTATTTGAATTTCTCAACATCAGACTCACAGTTTGTTCTAAGTACCTCGATCTTGATTGGCTATTGTCGACCTCTAACCAGTAATTATCTGCCTCGTTATTTTGTTTGTATCTTCCTTTTGATGTGATTCTTGGTCCTATATTTGTCCATGATTTATCTAGTTGATTGATTAGACCTATTTGGATGTGGGTTATTGATTGCCGATTGACCTGAGCGCCAAGATTAAATATTCTCTCTATCTTAGTACAACAAGATTCATAGTAACACTTTATATAACCACCTTTCCCAAGTCAATATTGTTTTTTTTTGTAGCCATGTAAACATGATGAAGTTATACGTCGTGATTTAGCACGCACATTTCCAGCTCATAGTTTCTTTCGTGATAAAATTGGACAGGAAAGTCTTTTTCTTGTTAGTCGTGCTTATGCTTTGTACGATGAAGAAGTTGGTTATTGTCAAGGTTTAACATTTTTTGCCGCTGTATTATTACTTCATGTAAGTTTTCCTTGTTTACTCATAAAATAGTGTTTGTACTTTCTTTAGATTATCATGGCGACTATGTAATAAATCATTCTAGCTTACTTACATCCAAACAGATTCATCGTCTTGACATTCCATAGCATTAGCAAGGTGCTTTTGGTACTAAGTTTTCATCGTCAAATTTACATTGGAGCTCCCCTGGTACGACCGATTGTGTTGAGAGGCAGCTCAACCTCTCGAAATGCTCTCACACGAACATGCGTACACAACCACTGTTAAGGAAGTCCTACTGATTGCCTTCTCGCGGCATTACTGTTATTTACGAAATTGGGAGAACGAAAAGCGAATGTTCAGCGTTTTAACCTGGTTGGTGTACATGAAGGGTTTGCCTAGGGGAGTCGGAAAACCCTGATTCTAAATCAATGGTGCACATGGGCTTCAGGATCCTGAGGGAACAAATGGCATATGAACCAATTGTTGGCCACCGGTACCATGGGACTGCATCTCTTAACGTTGATCCAATGCCTTGTAGATTAGACCTTTAGGTTAAAAGCTCCTGATGTGGCTCCCTAAGAAAACCACCTGCTTCGGTCTGGTCGCCTGGGCAGTATCACAACTCATACACAAAGCAAGTGACTTGTGTGGCGCATATATATTTGGTGCCCCTTTGTATCAATATTTATGTGTTCAAATAAATAAATAAATTTAGATTTTGCCATTCATTTGTTGGTAAAGCATGGTAACAGTGATAATTAAAAGAAATCGATTAAAATACTCAACCTCCAACCAATATATTTCAAGTTTTGACCCTATTCTAGCTACTTTGATTCGCTCAACTGGGTGATATCATTAGCAATCACATATAGTATCACTCCAAACCGAGTACATCAACTCACACTTGATAATTGAATTTAGTAAACTTTGTGATTCGACGATGCAATAATTGATCTAGATAGTCATGCCTTAACTCGTTGGATGATAAGTGACCAACAAAATCATATGTTTTTGCGTCAATGCGTTGTACAAAGAATATTATTTTTATTGGAAAGAAATGTCTTCTGCTGAGCATCTGACCTTATCTAGTGATGCATATTCAATTGGCGGTTCATGATAATAATTTGCTTTAATAAGGAACCATCACTTGGTCATATCGTATCGTTGTATATTACAATCGATCGGCCATACATCTACTAATCTAACGATCTGCAAACATCTTTCATTACAAATTTTGGAAGCTAAGCCGTCATACCACGAATGAATGGTTGTATAATACTTCTAAAAATTAGCATGAAATATATTTCGTAAGTGCGATATTGGATTTATTTTATACTGTGTCCAAAATATTGCACATTTTTTAAGTACCTTTTGCTATAAAATCATGTGTTTAAGCTAAGAGAATTATCTAAGCATATGAAATTAGATTGTAATACTACTAATTATTATTATTATTATTTCAAAGTGGTATCAATATCTCAATTGTATCAATGTGTATCTTTGGGTACAACTTACAGATGATTTTATTAATATAGATGACACTCAAACAAAGTAAATCCTTTCATCTTTGTTTTCTTAAATTGAATAATTTTTCATAATTATTCTTTCTGACTATTCTGTCTTTTTGTTTCAGATGCCAGTAGAACAAGCATTCACACTATTAGTACAAGTGAATAACAATTATGGAGTTCGAGAATTTTTCTTAAATGATTTCGATGGATTACATATGCGATTATATCAATTGGATCGTATTATTCAGGTAAAATATAATTGTCATTTTGAGGTCGTGGGATTTTTTTAATTTCATTGTAACCACAAACTTATTAAAGTAAAACAACCATTAAAAGCCTGGAAGCATCGGACGGATGTTTCATCCTTGTATTGGTTAAACGTTCACGCACGAGGCAGAAGATCCTGAATTCGAATCCCGCTTATGGGAGCGTGGGCGTTCATGTAGTTAAATCAAACGACCGTCTGATCTTACCAGGTTCCCAGTGGTTGTCTAACTTTGATCGGTTCATCATTTCAACAAAATATGATTTCGTTTTTATTTTCTAATTTTCATTATTGAATGTGTGTGACCTAGTTTTGCCAACCTAATAGTTTCACTAGCTCTCATACGTAGTAGTAGTTCATTTATTTTAGATTTTATAGCTAACAGTGTTGCTGTGATGATAAAAATATAAATAATTTGATATGATCGTATGTTGATAACTTTTTATTCACTCAGTATTAGCACTTTTCATGTAACATCTTGAAGTAATCTCACCACAATGAGGAATCAATCGTCCAACGGTCACAATGAATTAATTATAACCAAATATAAACCTTGAGTATAGAAAGTATTACTTCTTTTCTATGAGCTACAGAGGGTGACTGTTTTAGATGAGCGTTTAAACTGTGAATAAATTATTTCATCAGCTTTTGTAATTTTGATTTGTTTTTGGTTGAAATTATGCAATAATAAACACTCACTTCACTTGATGTGATCATTTTTCTTTTTGATTAGGATCAATTGCCAGATGTAGCAAAACATTTTAGTGATCTTGGCTTAGAAACTCACATGTTCGCTAGTCAATGGTTTTTAACATTGTTCACTGCTAAATTTCCATTAAATGTTGTCTTTCATATTGTTGATCTGTTTCTAACTGAGGTATGTTGTACTTAAATACATGATCATTTCTTTTTAAAATGTATAAGTACTATAATTTTTTTTAAAGTATGTAATACCTTTACTGTTTTACATATTTATAACATCGTTTTTGTATGGTATAAACGGAGGGAAATGTGTTTTGTATGTCATAGGCTAGATTCTAGATACCTGGTCATATGAACACTCAAAGTTTTACCGACTATCGAAAAGCAGTTAATAATTAGGACAAGAGGATATTACAAAGAGATAAAGAAATCATATTTATTACAATTAGATTCCAAGATGAATCTGTCCGTCTTACCTCAATAGTCAGTTATGGCTTCTTTTGACTGATACATTGAATTCGAAGACTAACATCATTTGGAAATATTTCTTTTTTTTCTTGAAGAAATTTAATCTTGAAAAGAGCAAGAACAAAGATTCTAGTTAGAAGATTCTCCTAGAATTTTTGTTCTTGCTCTTTCCGAAATGATGAAGGGAACTATGTGTATGAAAGAAATTTAATCAAATAATTTTAGATAGTGTAATAAAATGACGTAGATTATCGGAACTTTATAACTACCTAAGAAATATTAGCTTATTATCCAGAGTGATGAGGTGTCGAATTGTTTTTCATTCTCTTTTCTTTATTATCCTTGTCTCCTTCATTTGTCTATTTGAACTTTCATTTTTGTATGTAGATGTTCTTAATAAGCGTATGTGTGATCAAATTGTTCAAATGTATTGCGCTATTGTATCACGTAGTTCTGATAATCTTCGTTTTCTTATTACACTTCACTCGATTGCACAAGCAAGTGGCTATCAGGACTCAGTAGCTAATAATGCGTTGCCATGTGAAGCGAACGGTACTGGGTTCGAGTCTCAAATCGGACAAAAGGCGCGCCCTGGATTCCACTGCTAGCCACTATCCATCTTTGCTTATAATGCTTGTGAATTAAGATCATATCGCGGCAATACACACAGTATGCACATATGCCAATAAGCGACTAATCAATTGCAGTCCTAAACGTCAATGGGAAGATTCAAGTAAATAATACCAGGTGAATTATCCTAATTTATTAAAGGGACTAATTGCTTTAAACAAATGTTATAAAGCATGTCACACTTAGGAATTCTATTGTTTGAATAAATTCATAAAGCATTGAATTACTTCTAAATTGCACTAATTTCGCCAATGATATGCAAGAATTGATAGTTACATCCCTCTTTTTCCCAATAAAGTGAACTTTTCCTTCCAGTATTTTCCTATTTCTTTGAAGATAAAGGTATACTATTTTCTCTTAGTCAAGGTTATCACACTATAGTAGTATATGCTTTTATGATTTTTGTATTTTAAAAAAGATCTTTCATCTATGTTTATTATAGGGTTTGATATTCATATTCAAAGTATCTTTAGCACTATTGCAATTGGCTAGACGTGATTTACTCGGTTTGGACTTTGAAGGTGTTCTCAAGCATTTGCGTGTTACGATGCCAAAAAAATATTTAGTCCATGATGCTAATCAAGAATTACTTAGTATTGCATTATCGGCTAAAGTGAGTTTCGAAAACAAGCATCTAGCTTAATAAAATGATATATTTAATATGTGAAGAAAATCTTTCATTGAATGGAACAAAATGTTTTCATCGGTTTTAAAGGCATTGACAACATTGGCAATGATTCTATAAAATCATTCATTTGAACAACTCTTTTGGTTTATTGTTTAAATAATAGAGGTGCAACTATAGCTGGATATAATAACAACAAGTGATTTCATGATATTAAATAATTCGAAATGATTAACTTGAAACTTCGAACTTCGGTTTCCTGCTAGTTGTTACTCATTCAAATCCTCTTCAGGTACATTTTGATGAGTATCAACTAGCACGATGTTTTTGTCCAAGGTATTATTACCTTACCTTGTACGATTATCGCGAATACGATTGCCGAATTTGGATACGCGGACTTATACGACCAACAAATGACGTATACACCTGAACGAACAGCCTGTAGTCCCGTTTGGTCCTTTTCCCTGCTTGTTAAGCCCAAAACACAAATCTCAGTTTCCGTGATATGAATTATGTATTTCAAATATATTGGGTTTATGTACAAGCCAAACAAACCACATCACACTATAAATGGAAAATAACATTGGTACAAGAATCTAGCCAAAGGTGACTGTGAACGTGGAAGACTGTAATTAATAAACTGGGCATAACTTAAGAATGGTAAATCCTATATTAAGTTCATAGGTCAAAGTAAAGCTTGTAATAAGCAGAATATTGAATATACATAGTTTAGTTACTTAACAATTATACCATATATATGATTTGTTTGGTGACTGTTATCAAGAATCACTGTTGGTTGCCATCTCAATGGTGTTAAACTTATTCTTTAGAATCCTGGTTATTCTAAGTTCCTGATTAAGTGATATTTCAAAGATACTAAGAGGAACTGCTGATTTGAGAAAATCATTTACTCCTATTGTTAAAGTAAAAACGATTTATTATCGACTGTATCATGGAAAATTTCCATATTTATTATCTTAAACATTTTAAGTGTTTAGTAAATGTTTCATTGACTGTTTATTTTATTAACATTATCCGTGTCATTATCCAACATCGATTTATTATTTTTTTGATCACATTCATTTATATCTAAGGTCAAGTGTTTTAATATTTGTTTCTATTAATTCGAAGTTTTAGAGCTTTATTTATGATAATATAATACTTATTTATAAATAAATACCATTCACATCATTCTGTCATTTGTTGCCTTCAAATTATATTGTGTAGTATTGTTATACAAATGTGATAAGTAATTTCTTACTGGAACGTTGTTTAAATCAACATAAATTTATCGCACTTTTGTATTGCTCCTTTTGGATCATTTCTATTCTCATTTCTATTCTATCTATTCTCATTTATATATACATATCGTGTAGTAATAACATAACATTTTACTATTATTATTTGAAACTATATAATTCGACATTATGATCTTTTTATTACATCATCGTGTTTATTCATTATTCATATTTATTTACAGGATACGACTGTGCAACTTGAAAAATGATTCCATTAATGAATTTTAAGTTTTTCGATGTTTTAAATGATGTGCTTGAAAGCTAAAACAGTTTAGGTTGATCTGCTTACATTAGAAATTCTGTCTATTATTATTCTCTTTCATTCAGTCCACTTTGTTTCTATCATTCATAACAATAAATATTGAATCCTGTTTGTTCAACAGTTACTTCTCTATCGTAGAATTTTCTGATTAACTAAGAAATAGATTTTTATCACCAGGTTTAGCAACTTTACATGATAATATAGCTTCCTACTACTGTAATCATAAAATATGTATTAAAAATCTGTTAGATTCAACGGAACAATTTACCTGAGATCGATTAGATTCAAAAGGCTATCTTTGGCTCTCGGGATATTTGTGTATAAGTGATAAATGGTTCTTCAGCAAATGATAACCAACCTAAAATCAAGTTTCACATTCAATGTGATAAACCCAGAAACAGCGATCAACTTCGCACAGACAAGTACAAAAATTACCAGTTCAATATTTCCGCAGAAATAACGAGTCTATCACCCACCAAGAAGACATTTAGTTTACAGTTAACCAATAAAAGATAAAAATGAAATTATAGAACAAAATACCGGTTACCCATGAGTAGCACTACTGCAATCTCATGGCTGTAGCCTAACCTCTTGATTTGTTAGTGTATTTGTAAGGATGAAACTGAGGTATAGAGTTCTTCGTATAGCTTCTTTGTACTAAGCTAAGCTGTATGAGGTTTCTTCTACATCAATTCATAATTAATTTTTTGAGACATCTACATTCCACTTTGTCACTTTTTTTATAAGTCTGCTCAGGTAGCCGGTTCCTTTAATCAAAATATTAGCGTCAATTGTTAGATTTCGTTTAGATAGATGATTAAGTTATATCAGTTTTTTATCTACGTCATATGATTCCTCATCTAATTCGCGTACGATACTCATCTAGTTTACTTATTTTTGTATCAAGTTTTAAATTTATTTCTACTGAATTATTTTATTGACATTTCATATTCTTCCCCTATTTCTTCAATAGATTCATCTTACTCTTTTATATATGTATTTTCTCTATTCTTATGAATATATTTTCATAGAATTACTATGCATTATTTACACTGTTTCTCTTTTATTTAGGCATTCAAAATCTAATTTGTAGTTTTGGTTTCTAAATTCCAATTACAAACTAACATTTGAACAGTCGTGTAGTAATACCTATTGTCTTTCAAAAGATTATTAAGTCATCAATAATTAAGCAAAGTTCTATGGAGTTGCTTAGTTTTTGGGTTGATGTGAACAATAAAGCTTTAATTATTTTAAGTCGTAATGATTATCGTGGTATTATCATTATTCATAAATATGCAATTTTTAAGCCTCACTTTTACATTGATTTCACAAATGTCGGTATTCTCTCACGTAATCAGCTACTTACTATCCATCACCGTGTTTGCCAACTTCTATCCAGGTTTCGCTGAAATGAACATCTCAACTAAGACAAATTAATCTTCTACTATTAATGGCTATCCCCCTATTTAAGTCTGATTTTAAGAGAATGAATAATGTTAATTGTGTAATCTATTCATTGAACGTCAGTCATATAATTGTCGAATTGCTCGCTGTTTCTTACTTCGTACGTGTTATTTTTGATAATCAAATATTATCCTAGCCTTACAATCCACAGTAATGTTTTCTCATACTGTGTGATTCCTAGATGAATATTCATATATTGCATAATCATGAATCTTTAGGGTAATTATAGTTTTGTCAGCAGTAGTCTGATGTAGTCCAATCGATCATGATTATTATTATTTCTACTAATTGATGTGTTCATATAGCTTAAGTAACACTTGTCTAGACAAGTAATTTATGATAGTACGTGACTCACTGAAACCTAGAATAAAAGTTATACAAATTGTACAATTTGTTATTTTCATACATTTTGTTGTTTATCCAGCATTATTAAGATGGTAATTTGACAAGAACAATTAAGTTAATCTACTGCATTCATCGTAAGTTCTGTCAACACTTCTATTTGTCATATTTCATAATACCTTTAGTCTAGAATAGATGGGATGTGTCTAGCAGTAGGATCCAGGGCTCACGTCTCGTCCTTTTGGGTAATGCACAGGCTGATGGACCTGGATACCAAAGGTGATGTCCTCCACGAGACTCTAACTTAGTACCATCCGCATCAAACTTCATTAGCTTCATTCACTTACCTACTAAGTTCAAATAGCCAGATACCTTCGGTATTCAAAATGAAAATAATAAACTCTTTTGGTTTTTATTTACGTAAATATGTTTCCTTCAAAGTACCTAATTTTTTTGCCCAGATTATTTCAAATTAAGACAAGTATTTCGTGTACCATTTCCACTTTTACCATTTAGACATATACCAGGAGTCCTAAGTTTGCTAGTTAAAAATAGCTTTGTCTTGTCAGTTATGTGAAAAAGACAGATTTTATATGATTATTTAGGTTGACACACCTTACTAATGATCGGAATTTCTTACAAAAAAATCAAAACCCATTTTTAAGTGTTTTTTCTTTCCTTTATTTTCTTATCTTGTTCTCTTTTGTTTATTACTTTATAGTACTTACTAATGTTCAGTAACCAGTGTCAATTTTAATGATTTTTGAGAACATGATGTTCAACGTGTATCTGTTGTTTAGTATTTCCAAATATTTACATAAACTTGTGACATTAGAATTCCTTATTAATGATAGCATTCATTAGCATTTGTAACAGTCGTTTTCAACTTCGATGAAATTGTTGGACGTTTTTTCTACTGTATGTCGTATTCTGCCGTAATCAGGTAGATGACGTATCAATATATATATATATATATATATATATATATATATATATATATATATATATATATATAGATGCTCTAAAGGAATTGAAGAGTTTCCATCCAATCAGAATCTGATAGAGCCCATTAGAATATCAACGTGGCATGCTACGATTGGACGATAGCATAACTTATCTGCTTGCATATTGACTGAATTACAATGAGGTTATAGTCAATACCAATAACTATAAATATCCATTTTTTTGTATATTTTTCGTTCTTACTCGATAATCATTTCCCATGCCTCTTCCGTCTTCTGATTTGCGACTGTGGGTTTCTACACGTTCAACTGTAGTTGTATGTCGTATTCTGCCGTAATCAGGTAGATGACGTAACAATATTCACTTTTATTGTAAATAGATATAGTATTTTATACAGATTTTTCACGATTTGATGTTTTTAATGTGTTCCATATTATCTCGTAATGATAGTATTGTATCTGCAGAAGATCTTGCACTTTTGATCACCAAATTGTTCACTTCACTTAACCGTACGGTTAGAAGTTTCGATAAAATTCTCCATCTACTTTATTCTTTTACATTTCTTCAAAGGTTACTTCCGCCAAATTACAAAAATATGCTAAAGAATGGATAACAAAGAGGGCTCAAGAAAAATTAACCGAATCTCCTCTGCATGTCATGGAGTGTCAGTTGGCATCATTACGTCGAGAAGTTTCTCGATTAGAACACGAGAATGAATCACTGGCTACCGGTCTTTTATCGAGTAAAACATTAATGCACAAACAAGTTGACCGGGTAATTTGTTATTTATTTTATCGATAATTATAACCAGTTTTTTACAATTTACGGTTAGTTATTTGTATTGAATGTCGTGTAGATTTTTCAAGAAATTTTACATTCGAATGAGCTTAATGCCCATTTTTAGTTCACAGATTAATTTTAAAATTCTTTCCCTATATAAAACTATTTTTTTGTTGCTTTCCTATCCAAATTAGATTCTTATGAAGTAGCAGAAAGATATATTTCATCGTAGTAGACTAGTATATGAATAAAATAACGTCATGTTTAATCTGTTCATATACTCAATATAGCAGGGAATATATAATGTTTCTCTTTATCATATAAAATTTGCTTAACTTACGATTTGTATAAATACATATTCTGTAAAACCGAACATTAAATGTCTGTTCCTTGCTCTTACTTCTTAAGTATCTCAAGTCAACCTATAGTATGTGATTGTTTTATCATTCCGTACTTCTCGGGAAATATTTGTATCGTTTTTCCTTTTGTTGGTTTCCTATGAATGTTTCGATGTTTACATACTTTATTTTTCGAGTCGCTTACAACCAAATAAATGAAACACTATTTTCTAGGGTTGTTTCAGGTGGTAAAACTAAGTTACATGGTGTCGAATCAATACACATCAAAGTGAGCAAATACAGTTTTCGCGCGAAACTCAAAGATAATAATAATAATATCATATATTTGATCACAGCACAAAATGTCCAGTATTGCAACAGTTCCATTTTTGATATCGATTTATGAGAAAAACGGATCACAATTTTATCACAACAGTGATTAGTTGTTATTTGTCGGCATTTACAAACATTTTCGACAAGTTTCGTAACTATGAAATCTTTTATCGCATAATACACGTGGTTCATAAACCCCATTCTCAGTCTTCTTGTATCCTTAGAAAATACGAGAAGGAAATGTACCAGCAAGCCTTGTGGTTGATCGTGTTTGAATTTCTCAGTAATTCTCATATATTGGTAGGGAAGTGATTGAGTACATGTGGTAAAAATAAGTAATAAATAAGTTCAAGCAAATCTAAAACAGGAAAAGTTATCCTAACGTTTTCATTGTAAGAAAATATGTGATTCAAAAGTATATGAACAGGTTTTTGATGATGTACTAACATAGTACTTGAATCACTAGGATTACATACATTAAATATTGAAAGATAATGGGTGGAGGGTGTCAGGGATAAGAAATAGGGGATTATACTGAAACAGGTATTGGTGGTGCTTCTACCTCGAGGTTGGTATCAACAATATTCAGCATTGCTGCTTTGCTCCCTATGCAAAGTGCGCAAAGTGTTGCTAAAGAAGATAGAGTTCTTCGTCAACCTGGGACAATAGTACATGTTGTACTGGTGTTTAGGAACGGAGAGTCAGTTTAGCCCCGGGCTAAGGTTTGCTTACATAGCTAAGCAATGAGGTAAATCAGGTTGAAAACTATTGGAAAGCTGATTCAGTAACTCAAGATAGTCCTTAAGAGCATAAAATTGTTTCACCAAGTTATATATGGTGTTTAGAGGGACATCAGATAACCGCAAACGATTGAATCAATGAGGTCTGAGTATGGTGGACCCAACCTGTTTTAAATAGAGCAATTCTGTGAACATAGATTCATGAAGGGAAACTCTACTTTAGTTGCTCCAACAGGCGTCACTGGTATCTAGTCCTGGGTGATTTATTCATAATGTTAAAGGGTAATTGTTCCTTCGTAAGGGTGAATCTTGTTGATCTCGGGCTTCAGAGAAAAGTGGCTAAGGAATGTGTTGAAAATTACTGGTTATTAATACACAGCAATGTCGGTTTCAGTATAATCACCCTTACTATCTTTCTATAGTAAGTGTATGCTTTCCTAGCTGATCTTCTTTTATTCAGATTATTATCATCGTAACATATTAGGTTATATATCAAATGGATGTGTCATGGGAATATAAAAATGTTCACTTTGATTGGTGTTTATCACTGTACTATTCATTGTATTTATCCTTAATTCATATATGCAACTTCTCTGTTAACATTTGAATACACTAATTGTGTTTCTTTGTCAAAATATGTATTGTTATGTGAATTTGATATCATGTTTACATAGATAGTAAGACAGATGGTTTATAAATATTTAATTCAGATAATATTATGTAAGATTTATATAAATCTATTTTCGCTTTTGAAGATTTCTTCTGATGTTCGATAAATTCTATAATATTTCCTTTTTATTAACTACTCGATTTAATTGATAATAACCCTAATTATTTTGTATATACTTATGTACAATTGTCATTGTACTATACCATTTGTGCTGACTATTAGCCACTGCTCGAACTACATTAAAACTTGTCATTTAAAATCGTTAAAAAGTTTAACTGTTTAAAATCATTAAACGATCACTTCCTTGTTATTTTTTTACGAAGATTAAATTTATTATTAAAAAGAAAATATATTAATTTATGTCATTTTATTTTTGTATATTTCAGTTAGAAGATAAAGCTGAAATATTAACTCGAGAATTATTCGCTTCCAGGCAAGATTTCCAAGATGCTTTAGAAGAGAAAGCTCACTTAGAAAATGAAGTACTACAGGTAAGTAAATCTTAATATCTACCTTTTTGTCAAATTTTATCGTATGAAGCATAATTTGTTGGGCTACAGCATCTTTGAATGAGTCGATAGTTTTCCCTATCTTTCTAAAAGCTTCACATCATCTATGCAAATACTAATGCGGGGTGAGTCTTTATCCAACTGCGTTCAAACTATTGGCTTCTGTCACACTTCGTAGATTGTTCAAAACCCGAGAAACATTGACTCACGAGGAGCAGGATGGTTTTCATTCTGGTCGAGGATGTATTGATCATATATTCACCCTCCGCTAAATGTCAGAAAACCGTCATACTTATCACAGGTCAAAAATCTTGATGTCTGTTGAAGAAGGGTGTGCCTGAGAAGTTTATTAACATCTTAAAGGTCCTATATACAAACACCTCAGGCAGAGTGAGGGCATAAAACCACCTCTCTTCATTGTTTCATTCAAGCAATAAGGTTGACCAATCTCAACATTCCTCTTCAGCTTTGACATCGATGACGTTCTGGAAACAGCTCTGATAGATGTAGGTAATGGCGGTGTGGATCTGTTGCCTGGAGAAAAGCTTCTCGAACTTGAGTATGCGGATGATATTATCTTACTGTGAGATAATACCCAAACCATGCGATTCGCACTAAATCAGTTGGTAGTCAGTGTCCATAGGTATGCTATGTGCTTTGCACCTTCGAAGTGAAAAGTACTTTTGCAAGACTGGCGAAACCCTGATCCTGCCTTCACCCTGAATGATGAGCAGATAGAAGTAGTCAAGAAGTTCGTGAACCTAGGTAGCTGCAAAAGTGCTGGTGGTGGCGTGAGTGATGAGATTAATGCAAGTATAGTGAAAGCCAGAGTGGTTTATGCCAGTCTGGGCCATCTTTGGCGCCGTCGTGATGTTAGTCTGGCTGTAAAAGGTCGCATCTATAACGCGTCGGTGAGAGCAGTTTTGCTCTACGCTTGTGAAACCTGGCTTCTACGAGTTGAGAATGTTAGACAACTCTCTGTGTTTGGTCATCGTTGTCTCCGAAGGATTGCTGACATCCAGTGGCAACACCATGTTAGTAACGCAGAGATTCGGTACCGTGTTCGGGCACAGAGACGATAATGTAATTGGTGTCACCATCTTGAAACATCGAATTCTGTGGCTTGGACATGTTCTACGAATGTTATCCTAGAGAATTCCACGTCGTGCACTATTTTCTGAACCTGGAACTGGTTGGAAAAAGCGGAGAGGAGGTCTGTGTACGACGGTGTGTCGTGGTATGAAAGAAAGATGCAAAGGACTGGCATCTGATGGTTCTTCACGACTCCCTGGTTGGGGTCCTAGAGACGGTGCAACACAGTGGATAGAGACGTTATCAAATATGGGTCAGAATAGAAGTCAATGTCGATCCTGCTGTAACTTTATTTTGCTTTCTTCATAAAAGTGAACTTTTTAACTGAAAGAATTTTATTTTTAGTTGTATTTTTGCTGTTTCTCCCATTATTATTATTCTTTCACTCTCATACATTAATTTTTGTTATACGAACCGTCCATTTTGTATCTCTTCACCATCTCGTTTTTATCGTGACGCATGTTTATATGTATATATGTGGTGTGCCCTTGTGTTAATGTTTGTGTCCAAATAAATAAATAAAATATTGTACGACATATTATCTCAAGCTATCAAGGTTATCACAAATCTATGTATTTGTTTGATTACTAATGTTCATTTGTATATCGATTGCATACTCATCAGTTTAATGATTTTCCATTGAATTTAACACTGCTTTTAAGACAGAAATATTTGACACCTAAATATAATTTAGTCTCTTTTCACCCCATACTATGTTTTGCATTACTCTCTTTATTAGTTAATTCAATTGGATTGTGTTACAATTTATCCTATTACGATTCAGCTACCCGTCTTGCTTAGTATTCTTAAGCAGTACTTCACTCGACAAGTCCCCAAATCAAAACACGGTTGAACAGTAACTTAACTATATTCCAAATAAAAATGTTGAATGGAAGTAGGGATCACAATAAGAGAGACGTCAATATATCCATAATTTCAATATAAGATCCTAGAGTCTCCGCTGATGCTGATTGGTTAAGAAACAGCTAATCAGCTTTCCCCAATACAGTCCTGCACGGAATATGCCTTATTTTAAACTATATTCCTCCAACAGATAGTTTATGAATATCAGAATAATTTGAATATTATTATTATTATGGGCTAACGTGATTTGATAACTATTGTTAACTCAATTGATTTGTTCTATACCATAATAATTCCTGATACATCGTTGTTCCCTTCATGTGAGAAATAAGATACCTTTATATCCAATCTACGTAAATATTATATCAATTCGCTTGGTATTCAATAACATATACTTTTGAGTCATTGTCTCATACCGATTGAATTCGCCTTCTTAATAAATGTGTACTATCGCCAAAGTACATATACATTTGTGTGATCATATTATTATTTCTATTACTTACTGTATCAGTAAACTGTCCTATTATTATCATTGTAGGATAATTACGATGTCCCTGTAATGTTAATAATAATAAATTAGTTATTAATTATAACAATATCATTCTGATAAGATCAATTTGATAACTTGGTAATTACCAGCCTCCAATATTGTTTAGACTCCAAATACATGAAATTGATTAGTCCTATGTACAAGAAATAGTAAACACGATTAATATGAGATCTCACTGGTCTTTTTCTCAAGTGACGTTCATTTTCATCATGTTAACTCAGATAAATCATTTTGCATACAAATTTATAATGTTAATTTATCTAATAAATATTCATTCAGAATTTTAGAATAAGTTCTATATAATAGAATCATCATTTTAAACGTTTATTATTATTATTTATTCACATTTATCAAAATAAAGAGAAAAGTTATCATATCAAAAGTAATCAAATTCTTGATATTCATTTATAAAACATGATTGTTTGATACTTTTTTCTTAGGTGAAAAAAATGTTTCGTAATGCACTTGAAGAGAATTCCATTGAATTAAAAAGAAATCAACATATGTTTACTAGTTATAAAGCAATTATAAAAGAATTAAATGATTATTTAATTAAAATTAATGAAAATTATCCTATCAATTCATTAACTATTAATCAATTATATAAACATGATCCGTTATTTTTGGATTTAACTTTTGATTTAATAAAACAAGTATTACATTGTAAAGAATGTTCATCAATTGTCAATACTTATATTGAAAAATCAAATAATGTAAATTTAACAGATAATGTAAATACTTCTTTATCTATTAGAGAGGAAGAGATTGTTAATATGAACAATAATAATGATAATACAGACAAACAAGTAAGTACACTTTTTTTATATTGAAATTACAGTTATTTCCATTGACTTGTACATTTCAAATATATAGCTTTCATAGTATTTTTCTTCAAATAAACACTCCAAAATTTAGGTAAAGTAAAAGTTTATGTACTAAACGTTAGGTTGGATTTTTTGTAAAACACTGTCTTGATTTCTTTTTAAATTGAAATGTGACCAGGAGAGAATTGAATTTTGAGCTAATAATCTAACGTTTAAAAGGTCAATATTGAGGGCCATTGTGTCACACCCCGCCTCCCTGTTTTATAAATTGTACGTGTTTTAGTAAAGGTAATATCGAAATATAATATAATAACGATAATAATGGCAACTAAGGTTAATATTTAATCAGGCAAATCACCAATGAAGATTTCATCGCAAATGTTTGTAAATAACTGTTGAGTCGGCTTCCGGAGAACTTCAACAGAGCCTTCAGAGGCCCAAAAGGAGCCGAAATGTCTTAGTCAATCAGAGTATGATGTAACGTTCGAGAATTCCAGCGTGGCGTGCTACTATTGGTCGGTAGCATAATATGTCGTTATCGGATTGGCTGAAAAATGATGTTGATTTAACAGACGCCAACATCTATAAATACCCATGATTTTCTGTACAAAAATGAACTTTGGGATAAAGTATTTTCTCTCATACTTGTGTCTTCTCTCTGGTGTTCAAGTCGCTGTGTAGTTCTAGACTGCAGGTTACCAGAATAGCTTAGGAAAGAGAGAGAGATAGATATAACACCAAAAGCCACTAATGTACCTGATACCTGGGATCCTATTCAGACAGCTAAGATAAATTTAAAACGATACACGGATCCTTTCGTATGCATATTAATTTGCGAAGTAACCGCTGCTTCCAACCAGTGTAAAAGTCATCAAATATTGCTTGAGTACAAAGCTGTTATAACTACATAAAACGTCTTCAAGCTACCGAAGTTGATTTTTTGATGTAGCAACAGTGAATATGAACAGCTTATTTTGCAATTTACTTACCTACTATTTCATTCATTACACCTATCGTTTTATGCGTTCACAATAAATGTGCCGACCTATTAGTCATTTTATTAAGCTTTAATGCAAAACTTTTTAACGTATATAAGTCTTACAAGTATTTCATTGTCAACTATTATCTTTTAACCTACTAATAGATCATGAAAATGTGTGAAGCATTTGATAGATAAAGAAATTTAGACGTTTCAAATTTTTTTCTCATTTATGTCTGTAAGATTTATTCTCAGTTTTAATTAGTGAAATATCTTACATTCAAAATATACATCCAATGTATTGACAAAACATTTATCTCTTTGTTTCATAGAATCAAGATCATTTGAATAATCAATCTGAAGAAAAAATCATTAATGGTAAATGTACAAGAAGACAATCAATTATACATATTCTTGATAAATTCAAATTATTGAATATACCTAACAATTGTTCTTCTCCATCATTGAAATTACATGAACTAAATGGTGATAAATCAATGGAAGAATCTATCAGAATAAATAATATTACATCTAATACAATTAATGAAAATAATTGTGAAACATCATCACACTAATAAACAATTATCTATTGAAATTATGTAAATATTATTTATCATTAATTATGTATTTATCTTATAATTTTCAATGTTAACAAATTAAAACTAATACTAATTTTAAATTGTATTTATGATCATATTCTCTTAATTCATTACACTACTATATCGCCGTAGTAACTATTATTATTACGATTATTATTATTGTTACTTTCTGAGTGATTATTCATCATTATTTTCATTTTCGTTTTAATTATTTGAATTATTTTTTTTCTTTTCTTTATCTTTTTATATTTTGATGAATGATCTTACCATTTATTTATTTCTTTTGTCTTATTTAATATATATTACGAAATAAATAAAAATTACATTAAATCTTCATCATAATTATTTCTTTAATTTCAATTTTATTTTATTTTATAATAATTGTAAACTTGATCATTTAAACAATCATAGCATATTTGTAATTGAATTAAATTGAATTGTTCAATATGTTATAAATTATTTTGTAACGTTCAAGATTTTGTTGTTTGAAACTATAATTCATTTCTGTAATAAACCTTTTCCTATGACTCTTTTTTTCTCAAAATTTGCTTTATAATGTTGAATTATATAATATCAGCCTGAAGAAAAAAAAATTATTCGCAAATTGTAATTTCAATTAGATATCTCTTTTAATTAGGTAAATTATACTCTTCTACTATCAATTTCATATAGATTTCTTTACTTCTATAAAAAAAAAACGTAAAGATATATCTATATACAATGAATAAAGGTTTCTCACATAGCAACAAACTTCTTTAATATGAAAATCGACTACTTAATTTAGTATACAATTGATATTTTAAATAACTTTTTTTGTCTGACTGTTAGAGGCTTTATCTAAATATTAATCTCTTGAAAAGTAAAGAATTCTTATATGTTAACTTCATTAAATTTAAAACAATAACATACTTCAAGAAATATTAATAATTTGGGAATTTTATTAAGCTATTGTGTATATTGACTTTATTATTTTCATATCTTCAAAATCTATCGAATTATCTTCCAAATCATTTGGCTCATTAAAAACCCATTTATTTATTATAATTATACTAAATCCTACTATGTGTTCTACTTGTATTCCATTTTAATATGAAGCTGATATAGTGAATAATGCTTGAGATTTAATAGTCAGTTCATAACTTCATTCATTCAGAAGTAAAATACAATAAACCTTGTATTACAACTGCATAATTATTTTTAATGGCTTTAGTTGTGTTAATTAATCTTAAGTATTTTGTGTATCAGTTTATCAATTTACTAAAAAGAAATAATTTTTATTGGCGAGTTATTTTTTTTCCACTATTCATTCATTTGTGGTGAAGGATGTCAGTTACTCGTTGCAACCGGATTGTATTGCTTGATCAGACTTCAAATCAATCTAGTCAATTAACCACAGGTAGCCAGAAACAGATTGTATTCTGTCATTAAGAAAAATCTAGAGTGTTAGTGTCCCTAAATGCTCTGGTAAAACAGAATGGAAAGGGTTGTGTTCTCCCGTCACGTAAAGTGGGCTTTTACGGAAATGATAAAACGAAAAGTGAACTTCTGGTCATTAAACTAGGCTGGTGGACACATAGGACCCAACTAAGGAAGTTGGAAAACTGTGATTCCAAGCCTGTGATGTAAATGGACTTCAGGATCCTATTGAGATGTCAGGGTAGTATTCTAAACACTCAGAAATATGATAACTAATAATAATGAAGAAAATAACCGGTTCGCATTCATGTTATTTGCAGTGCATTTAATTCAAATGTACCTACTTTACACTGTCTCACCTTTGTTTTCCTTTATTTCATTCTGTTTACTTACTTACTTACGCCTGTTACTCCTCGTGAAGGAGCATAGGCCGCTCACCAGCATTTTCCATCCAACCCTGTCCTGGGCAATCCTTTCTAGCTCCGTCCAGTTGTAATTCATCGTTTTCATATCTGCTTCTATTATCCGACGCAATGTGTTCTTTGGCCTTCCTCTTTTTCGCTTCCCTTCAGGATTGCAAGTTAACACTTGCCTCGTGATGCAGTTTGACGATTTGCTTAATGTATGTCCTATCCATTTCCGTCGTCTTTTCCTAATTTCTTCTTCAGCTGGAAGTTGGTTTGTTCTCTCCCACAGAAGGCTATTGCTGATGGTATCCCGCCGATGGATATTGAGTATCTTGCGTAGACAGCTATTTATAAATACTTGTACTTTCTTGATGGTGGTTGTTGTAGTTCTCCAAATTTCAGCTCCATACAGTAGAACTGCCTTGACGTTGGTATTGAAGATTCTCACTTTGATATTGGTTGAAAGTTGTTTTGAGTTCCATATTTTCTTTAACTGTAGGAATGCTGTCCTTGCTTTGCCAATCCTTGCCTTTACGTCTGCATCTGAACCTCCTTGTTCATCGATGATGCTTCCCAGGTATGTGAAGGACTCTACATCTTCCAGAGTTTCGCCATCAAGTGATTGGATTTCTGTTCGCTTTGAATTTGAGGACCTTGGTTTTCCCTTTGTGTATACTGAGGCCTACTGATGCAGAGACTGCTGCTACACTGGCTGTCTTCATCTGCATCTGTTCGTGTGTACGTGATAGGAGTGCTAGGTCATCTGCGAAGTCCAAATCGTCTAACTGATTTCGAGCTGCCCATTGTATTCCGTGTTTTCCTTCAGATGTCGAGGTCTTTATAATCCAGTCGACCACCAGAAGAAAGAGGAAGGGAGAGAGTAAACAGCCTTGTCTGACTCCGGTCCTTACTTGGAATGCATCTGTCAGCTGTCCTCCATGCACGACTTTGCACTGTAGTCCGTCGTATGAGTTCCGGATAATGTTGACAATCTTCTCAGGAACTCCGTAGTGTCGAAGAAGTTTCCATAACGTTCTCCTATCTACACTGTCGAATGCTTTTTCATAATCAATGAAGTTGATGTATAGTGATGAGTTCCATTCAACTGATTGTTCGACGACGATCCGTAGTGTTGCAATTTGGTCTGTGCATGATCGATCCTTACGGAATCCAGCTTGTTGATCTCGAAGTTGGGTGTCTACCGCATCTTTCATCCGGTTCAGCAACACTCTGTTGAAGACCTTCCCTGGTATTGACAGCAGTGTAATGCCTCTATAGTTTTCACATTTGCTCAGATCTCCTTTCTTTGGAATCTTGACGAGGTGCCCTTCTTTCCAGTCCATCGGCACTTGTTCCTCCTCCCATATCTTTTTGAATAGAAGGTAAAGCATGTTTGTAGTTGCTTCGATGTCTGACTTCAGTGCTTCAGCTGGTATGTTGTCCGGACCCGCTGCTTTCCCGTTCTTGATTTGTCTGACGGCCATTCTGATTTCTTCCTTCGTTGGTGGGTTGACGTCTATTGGAAGATCTGTGTGTGCCGCCTCGATGTCCAGTGGATTCATTGGAGCTGGCCTATTCAGGAGTTCCTCGAAGTATTCTACCCATCTGCTCCGCTGTTGTTGAATTTCGGTGATTGGCTTGTCTTCTTTATCTTTGACCGGTCTCTCTTGTTTACTGTATTTTCCTGCTAGTTTCTTCGTTGTATCGTAAAGCTGTTTCATATTTCCTTCTCTAGCAGCTTTTTCTGCCGTCGTTGCTAGTTCTTCCACGTATTTCTTCTTGTCAGCTCTAATGCTCCTCTTCACTTGCTTGTTTGCTTCTGTGGATTTTAGCTTGTGCTTGGACTTTCTCTGCTCGTGTTCGGCTGCTGTTAATTGCTGTCTTCTTGTTCTTCCTTTCTTTGATCTTGTCCAGTGTTTCTATAGAGATCCATTCCTTATGATGGTGTTTCTTTAGGCCCAGAACCTCTTGACACGTTGAAGTCAATGTTTCTTTGATGCCTTTCCAGTTGTCCTCCATGGTAGTTTCTTCTTCCTTCAGTAGATCTTGAAAGGCTTGGAACCTGTTGTTGAGAGCTATCTTGAATTCATTGAGTTTGTCAGTATCTCGAAGGAAGGCTGTATTGAACCTTTGTAGTGCTGTTTGTCCACTTGTCCAGTTCTTTTTTAGCTTCAGTTTTAAATTGGCTACAACTAGGTGGTGATCTGAAGCTACGTCAGCTCCTCTCCTGGTTCTCACATCTTCCATTGTCCTTCGGAATTTTTTCTTGATGCAAATATGATCTATTTGGTTCTCTGTAGTGTGGTCGGGTGAGATCCATGTAGCCTTGTGCATACGCTTGTGTGGAAATATTGTGCCTCCTATGACCAATTTGTTGAATGCACATAGATTTGCAAATCTTTCCCCATTTTCATTTCTTTCTCCCAGTCCATGTCGTCCCATAATATCTTCATACCCGGTGTTGTCTATTCCGACTTTGGCATTTAGATCTCCCATCAGAATAGTTAGGTCTTTTCTTGGGCATTTCTCAATGACTGACTGCAGCCGCTCGTAGAACTGATCTTTAATGTCATCGTTGCTATCATTTGTGGGTGCATAACATTGGATAATATTCATTAAGATCCCCTCCTTCTTTGTTTTGAATGATGCTTTGATGATTCTGGATCCGTGAGATTCCCATCCTACAAGTGCATTTCGTGCTACATTGGACAGCATAAGAGCGACTCCCTGAGTGTGTGGAGCATTGTCCAATTCGTGACCGGAATATAGCAGCATCTCTCCCGTAGCTAGCCTTTTCTGTCCAGCTTGGGTCCAGTAGGTTTCGCTGATTATCAGTACTGCTAAGTTGTATCTCTTCATTTCCATTGCTATTTGACTGGTCTTCCCGGTTTCCCACATTGTTCGAACGTTCCATGTACCTATAAAAATTTTTGCTCTGGTTGTTAGAAGGGGCTTCCGATGGAACTCGGCTTTCACCATGAAGCGTCATAATTCTTCTAAATGGAAAACCTTCTAACTCCCAGGGCAGAGTTTAAATGGTTTGGATTATTTTTTCTGGTAAGCGTCTTTTTAGCGAGTTAGTTTTCTACGGGATAGGGACGCTAACCCCATGCCCAACCCTCCTCCTTTACCCGGGCTTGGGACCGGCAGTAACCCTATAAGAGCTACAGGCGGAGTTCATTCTGTTCACTTTTATTATTTAACCTAACCAGTAGTTTACCTCTGCCGAAAACTGTCCCATCTAGACGGTCCCACGTCTCTCAGTAGTCGCATTGATTAGTACTGTCATGGAATACAGAATATAGGGCTATCTTATTTAAACTTGCCTACTTCGTTTACGCACTGATACAGAGCAGATAACAGGTAGGTTTGGCCAATTCTTAGGGACGTTTTTATGGTTACGAAGGCTGCGTATTTCTAATTGATCGTGTCCTGGTTTAAAACAAGCTTTTCTTGCCTTTCGCTGATCCAAAAACTTATCGTCTTGAATGGATTGCTGTAGGCAGACAATGTTTAAGGCTAACCATCAGCCTCCCGAAGAATACTGACGAACGTTGGTTATGTCTTTATGAATCTAAGAAAGTAGCAAGTAAAGTTGCTTTTCAGTTCGTGTAACGTTGTACTGGAATATTTTAGAAATAATTCCGAATACCTTAGAGTTATCCACTTAGCTACTGAGTTGTGGTAATCACAGTCTCGTGCAATCGGTTGAAGATTTAATTCATTTTGTATTGGTTGCTTGAATCTTCCCATTGATCTTTAGGACTGCGATTGATCAGTCTCCTATTAGCATATATGCATCCCGTGCAGATTGTCTCGATATTGCCTTAAATCACAAGCATTATAAGCAGAGATGGATGGATACTAGCAGTAGAATCCGGCAATCAGTAGCCAAGTAGATGACGCTATGGCGTTTGAAGAGGGTGGTACTGGGTTCGAGTTCGAAGTGAATATCAACCCTGAGATGCAGGTACATCCAGGTGACGATTCCTAGATGAAACCAAACACGCTTCCTGGATTCCACCACTAGCCATCACTTATAACTGTTTACAATGCTTGTGATTTAAGGCAAAGCGTACAGGACGCATATATGCCAATAAGAGACTGGTCAATTGCAGTCCTAAACATCAATGGAAAAATTCAGACAACCAATACAAAAATGAATTAAAGATCTTCACTGTTTCACCAGTAAAACCATTCTGTCTCCTTGCCGATCCAAATCAGCTCATATCCCACTGTTATTATAAGACGTGAAATAAAATCACTATCAGGACTAGATAATGTTTTAATCTCTATCACATGTAACACATCTCATAATCAAGCACAATGATATGGATTCAGTGATATTTTATCTTCTAAGTCCATGTCATTAAACATTATAAAAAATTTGCAAACTTTCCGAAAGGTTCTTTGCATTAATATCAGCCAATTTATTTATAAGGCGTCAACTGTATCTACTGGATTCAAAGCTGAGATACAAAAAGTTTATGTTTTCTAACTATAATTTCCTAATAGTAGAATTTAAAAAGACTATTACGAAATATGTTTTGTTAGCTAATGATCGAAAAATTGGCTATTTAAATTCGTTTAAAGGTTTGTGGTTAGGATTTTAGTGTATTCTTTTAATTTATGTTCGTCGAACTGATGTTATTTTTATATGAAACGATACTACAACCATCCAAAGAAAACGATATGAAAGACAGGACGTTAACTTGACATCCTGAGCATGAAATTATATGCAGTTATTTTGTAAATTATAAATATAGAATTAAGTGTAGGTGAATACGCAGATACCTACTTTCCCTACAAAGTGAGCTTGTTCAGTTCGAATGTCCGAAATAGGAGGAAACGTACGTTCTTGATTTAACGCTATTTACATTGCCACTCTTCAATTGAATTTGATATTAAGTTGTTATTCGACTAATAAAATTAGTAAAAATAACACCCATCTTCATTGATAGAAGGTATTCACTTCACATAACTGATGTGTGTTCAGGTATACTAGGTAATGGCTAAAATAATAACACGATTCCTAACTTATTCATTCATACGTCGATAACCAAACACTCAAAATTGACAAAAACATTGTATAACTCGGGAATTTTAAAACCTATGTATATCGAAAATCAACATCCTTTAAAATTAGTGAAATAAACTGGGGAAATTCTCGCTATCGTGTCACTGAACTCGAAGTTATTTAACTTTCATATCTTCGGTTAAATAAACAATTTGAATTTATATGAAGAAAAGCATCACCTCTGTTTCATAACATTGAGATGTATTACAAGTATATGAAAACTGATAATAAAGACAGCACATATTAAGAAATAGTAAGTGTTTAGGATACTGAAATTCTAGGCGCATTTTAAACGACTGCTTCAAGCAAAATGAGGAAATTAATGTTTTGTAACGAACAACCTGCCGAAGTCATAATTTGATAATTATTGATGGCATTTTTGAGGAATAAGACTTGATATGCACTAAATCTAATGCCATCATTACAACTCAGAAATTATTTAAAAGCTTTAAGTTCAAATATGCGGTTTCTATTTATGCTGAGGTAATGATCGACATCAATTAACTGCCTGGATTCGAATTATTCAACCGATTGAATAATAAGCTTAATGAGAGTCTCAAGTTATTTTTTTTAAACACTGCGGTGTTTATACATCCAACTGATTCAATAGCATATGGCTATTCCCATGAATTAAATATTTATTTATGGATTAGGCTTAACCATGACCTCCATTTGATGTTTAGAATAGAGAAAAATGTTAGTTGAAATATCATACACGTAATCGCTACTTCGGTTAACAACACCTCAATCAACTGTCAGATAATTCAGGGTATTTTACTGAAGATAGCTACACTGTCTGAACTTAACTGAAAAGTACATAAAGCCAGGATATAATTTATCACCCGGTTGAAAACTCGTGGAAAACATTGTGATCGACCAACCAACTAAATAATGTAAGGCTCGGAACAATATCCAACTAGGTATTCTCTCTTGAATCCTCCAAAATATCATCAACCTGTAGTAAACAATTATTAAACGTTATCCGGACGTTAATCATCTCTGAAGTTTCAACTGGAATTATTCCGCATAAAAGTCTTGTAAAACTTTCCAAAATAAACCCAAAAATGTTCAGGTTACGATTTCTGATTTAAATTTCCTTAGTAAGGTTACATTAAATGAAACACCGAATACCGAAAATGCAACCCAAAATCGTAATATTAGTATGGTTGATATTTCCACGACAAATAGCATCCAGTTGTCGTGATACTTAAAAATTCAAATGTAATAAAATAAGGTTTTAAATTAAGCTATCGATGTCCTTGTAAGCAGATGATTTGTAAACAAGATTGTGAATAATAGTATAAATAATCAGTACAAAAAGAATATGTCTACTCAGAGAAACGATATCCAATACGTTGGTGTTTCACAATTATTGCTGACTTTAACACCAAAGAGGAACAACAATATGAAACTCATATACTAGGAGCAATTAAAAAAGTAAAGCTGGAGCAAATAAATACAGTAATCCCTAAAACGTTTATATCCTAAGTCAAGATGATCATTTAAATTTTTGATACCAAGTGCCAATTTTGGTGCTTCAAACAACCTGTCTTGTTAGTGAGTACAGTTTTGATAATCTTGAGATCAAAGTAATGAATAACGAGTGTGAGAGCATTTAAATCAAATGCACGACTTTCTATGTAAATAAGTAAACGAACTTTGTCTGCGGGAAGAAAAGCCTAATAATAATTAATACATGGGACTAACTCCAGAATTTGGATATTTATGAAACTTCATGATAATAGTTAGCTAAATATCTGTGAAATATTACAATAAGTGTGTCAGACTAATTTTCTTCAGTATAAACGTGAATAGTGATACATGGGAGTGATTCTCCCTACATTATTATATGGTGGAAGGTCTCTTACAGAAACGCGGAAAAGTAATCAAGTAGCGTAGTAAGAGGCTAAGATAAAACTGAGTAAAGCTGAATAAATATAAATTCCAAAAATACTTCCCCTTAGTTTATTTGTTTCGGTTCTTTAGATTAATAATCTAACGATGGGCAATAGAAATCACACATCAAGATGAATGTTTACAAGACTTCTCATTCCTAATACATTTTTGATCGCAAACGACCACTGAATGTCAAGTGTGAAAAGAGCTTTGCTACTATTACAATTTTGGCGTCAGACCATAGAACATGCTGTAAAAATAAGTACCTTTCACCATTTTATTAAAGCATCCTTACACATAACTAAAGACAGTGAACAAAAGTGTATTTCGATGGATTTAGAACAATTACATCTTAAATCATTAAGATCACAACTGTAAAAGTTATGTAAATGTCACAAACATAGAAGTCGACCACATGTACACAGATTCAGGTCACCATACGTTAGCACAGCGAGACAAAACGATAAAGATAAATCCTAGAGTAGTAGAAAGACCAGGTGAATAGAAATACATAAGATTTCGGGACTAAAGAAATGCATAGTGAATGGACCTGCCGCTTTGTGGATGATTTCCAGTCGTCGCCACAAGTCCTTAACTACTGGACGTCAACCAGGTAATTTATACCTACTTACATGACTCAGTTCAACAGCTGATAACTTTATGAATCGATGCTGTCTTAAATTGGCCTCGTTTAGCTTCCTCTAGGCCTACTCCTACATCGTATATTCCCCATCCAGGTAAGCTGTGGCTGGGTATATGAGACATATGTCCTAACCACCTCGGTGAGAATTCACTACCTGATCAATTGATTAGTCATCTTTACCTATTACCCTATACCTAACCTCACATTCACTCACTCGGTGATAATAAGATACACCAGCAGTATTTCAAAGACATATATGGTGAAATTCTAATGACCTACAAATATTCTATGCTGAAATTAACATGTTCCACATTCATAGAGTAAAATATGAATTGCTGCGCAGTAAACTCGTAATTTGGTTGACAGATATACACCTCGTTTACGTCACCAGCGACGCACGTTGATGAGAACGGAGTTTCTTGATCCGTATCGAGATGTCATCAGAAACTAGCAAGCCCGGGTTGATGACACTTTCATCATTAGTGAAATGGTTAACTTACTCAACCACTTTCCCCTCTAGTTCAGGTGTTAACGTAGACCGGTCCGGGAGCGAAATTTTACATTTAGAGGGAGAAATACATCTCAAGCATACTTGCACTGTTGTTCAAGGCCATCAGGAAACCTTGTATCGTGACAGTGTCTTCACTAATCAGAACTATTTCATCTAAGTATTGCAAGACAGAAATTGAATCTTCTTACATACTTCATTACGATCTGAAGCATAAATTTATTTGTTAATAGTTCGAATGTCTAAATATTTACCAATGTTGTGTGGAGATAAAAACCATTAAAAACGATCAACTAAACGTAAATAATTACAGACAAAGATGCTGTGATGATCAGTTAGTGAACATACATAGTGCCAAACTTTAGAGAAGTATTGATCATCCTAGAAACCTGAGATTAACAGCAACACGAGTTAAGTAGCTAGAAGAAACACAATTAAAAGGGACGAGTTCGATCTGTAAAATAATAAAAGTGATAAATGCATCGAGGACTTGAATGTGAAATTACGTACTAACAAGTACTATTTTTCTAGCTTATATGTACATATACCTACAAAACAGATAGGTGTGGGGTAGATTTACGAGCATATGGTTGGAATCAGAGTCGCCTATGATAAAAAAAGATACATGATGTTACTCAATTTAATTATTAGTTTTTCTAAATATTACCAACATTTTTGTGCTTAAAGTTCGCAACAGTACTCCTCCATATACTAAAACTAAACACAACTATTGTCTGATCTTACGTTAAGCCTGTTGAAAATGCAAGCTGTTATATCAGCGGTGAGGAAAAATATAAAGCATTGAAAACAAATGAGAATTAGAAATACAACCAACAAAGCAAACTACGACGGAAGTAGCTTACAGTCAAACGTATCTCTGAGTAACACTTATCTTTATCAATCCAACCAAATTTACAAAAACAAATGATAAAAATAAATATTGGAAGCTGACTATGAACCGAAGGGAAAGTGATCTTATCCATTTGCTTATACTGAGAAAGATGGATTCTTAAATTTTAGACACAGACCAATTTCTCCCAAGTCACTACTACAAAACAATGCATTTTGCAATAGCCACGATTTACTGAACGATAACATTTGAAATGACGATATTTCAAAAAAATTACAGCAAAATATTTTTTAGACAAACAGTACGTCAAAGTTATCGCAAAGCATTAGAAAATATTTTAACTATCTTCCTATTTACAAAATGCATGTAGGTGGAAAAATATTTACAGAAAATCAGGAGTAAAGACCTGTTTATTCATTAAATTTAAAGGAACAAGAATCTAAGGAAAGTGAACCTCCGCTATAAGAACCTCTCTTCTTTTTAGTTTTCTCTTGTTTGAACGCTTTTCCACTGGTAAACTTGAAATCGCGATTCGCTTTTTCACCCCACGATCCACGTGCATTCCGCTGAACAAAAGATTCGAAAACAAAAACGTTATCCAAAGTAGTAGTTTAAAAGTGAAGACAATTTTTATCCATACAATTTATGTTGTTGCAACTGAGTAACTAACTAGAATTTTGCATACTGGTTTGAGCCAGACACCAATTGATGGGTATGAATCCTAGTAAATACTTAAGGCAAATGAATCGAAGCTACGAACAAACGGACGACAGAACAGATAAATGTTGATCACATAAGCCATTGAGCTAGTTTGTTGGGTTGCAACGAAATGGTTTGTTTACATAAACTTTAAGTAGTGAATCATGAGTTTGAAATCTACTCTATCTCTAAAAAAAACTTGAAGCATTCTTCGTTTCTTTTTGAGGCATTGTGGCTTAAAACCCTTTACCTGAAACTCAACAAGATTACAGAGATATGGTAATGATAGAAAAAATTTGGAAGTGAATTATAGCAAAATTAAAGCATACTTTCATACTTCGAGATATTTAATGAATTCTTAACTAATTAGCATTCATCTGAATAACAACCATGTAAACCATTAACATAAAAATTATGATCCAATTTAATTCATTCTCAGTATCACTAGGTAATAATTATTTATAAGTCATTAGTTATCTCTATATGTAATAATAACAAATTAAAGAAACGAAAGGTCTGAAATCATGTTACAGTACATCTTTATATTTCCCCTTTTATCATAAAAAGAATGATCATCGTATTTTTCATTACTGTGTATCTCGCCACATATGCGTTCACTAAAAACCCTTCATACAATAATTACAAGAAACTAATACCGAATATATATAATAAAACTAGAAACAGTTTTAGAGTAAAGCAGAGATAAAACATCAAGACAAAGAAACATCTATCATGCTTAATGGTGAAGACTGGATTGTCTCTCGACAACATTAAGAAATATATAATGTACTATTTATGGATGAGAACATATATTAAACGCGGTTATAAAATAACATAAAAGTAAACTAACGACAAAACGCAAATCCGGAGCAAAATATCAAATTACCTTTGCCTCAAACGAATTGTCCCGCAGATTGGGGTGGATAAACACATCCTTCTCATCCACGCGACGAAAAGGACCGTTAGAATCAGTGAAAGACGTTTTAGTCGTAGATACGAAATTGTTAGTAGGACAACCAACAGAACTAGTATTCTTAAAATCACCGGAACCAACAAACGAGAAACGGCGTTTACGATTAAAGGAATGATTCAAAGATTCACCACGAACAGGACCACAATCATCACCCAAAGCAGACTGCTGCAAACCTGTCGGATGACCTCCAACTACACAACCAACATTCTTGCCCACAGATGGAGACGCCTTCACCAACGCAGGCTTCTTACTCGCCGGCTGCTCGTCATCACTAGAATCGGAGTCCGAGCTCGATGGAGCGGCCGCAACTTTCTTCTTCTGCACAGACTGAGCAGCACCTTGTGGGACAACTCCCATCCCCGTCTTAACACCACTAACAGCTACACCAACAGGTTTCTTCGCTGATCCGGCATTACCCTCATCACTCGAATCCGAGTCGGAACTCGACGACGCAGGCTTCCCGACCACCTTCTTTCCACCAGCAACTACACCACTAACAGCCTTCCCCACAGATGGAGACGCCTTCACCAACGCAGGCTTCTTACTCGCCGGCTGCTCGTCATCACTAGAATCGGAGTCCGAGCTCGATGGAGCGGCCGCAACTTTCTTCTTCTGCACAGACTGAGCAGCACCTTGTGGGACAACTCCCATCCCCGTCTTAACACCACTAACAACTACACCAACAGGTTTCTTCGCTGATCCGGCATTACCCTCATCACTCGAATCCGAGTCGGAACTCGACGACGCAGGCTTCCCGACCACCTTCTTACCACCAGCAACTACACCACTAACAGCCTTCCCCACAGATGGAGACGCCTTCACCAACGCAGGCTTCTTACTCGCCGGCTGCTCGTCATCACTAGAATCGGAGTCCGAGCTCGACGGAGCGGCCGCAACTTTCTTCTTCTGCACAGACTGAGCAGCACCTTGTGGGACAACTCCCATCCCTGTCTTAACACCACTAACAACTACACCAACAGGTTTCTTCGCTGATCCGGCATTACCCTCATCACTCGAATCCGAGTCGGAACTCGACGACGCAGGCTTCCCGACCACCTTCTTACCACCAGCAACTACACCACTAACAGCCTTCCCCACAGATGGAGACGCCTTCACCAACGCAGGCTTCTTACTCGCCGGCTGCTCGTCATCACTAGAATCAGAGTCCGAGCTCGACGGAGCGGCCGCAACTTTCTTCTTCTGCACAGACTGAGCAGCACCTTGTGGGACAACTCCCATTCCCGTCTTAACACCACTAACAACTACACCAACAGGTTTCTTCGCTGGTCCGGCATTACCCTCATCACTCGAATCCGAGTCGGAACTCGACGATGCAGGCTTCCCGACCACCTTCTTACCACCAGCAACTACACCACTAACAGCCTTGCCCACAGATGGAGACGCCTTCACCAACGCAGGCTTCTTACTCGCCGGCTGCTCGTCATCACTAGAATCAGAGTCCGAGCTCGACGGAGCGGCCGCAACTTTCTTCTTCTGCACAGACTGAGCAGCAGCACCTTGTGGGACAACTCCCATCCCTGTCTTAACACCACTAACAACTACACCAACAGGTTTCTTCGCTGATCCGGCATTACCCTCATCACTCGAATCCGAGTCGGAACTCGACGACGCAGGCTTCCCGACCACCTTCTTTCCACCAGCAATTACACAGCCAACAGTCTTGCCCACAGATGGAGACGCCTTCACCAACGCAGGCTTCTTACTCGCCGGCTGCTCGTCATCACTAGAATCGGAGTCCGAGCTCGACGGAGCGGCCGCAACTTTCTTCTTCTGCACAGACTGAGCAGCACCTTGTGGGACAACTCCCATCCCCGTCTTAACACCACTAACAACTACACCAACAGGTTTCTTCGCTGATCCGGCATTACCCTCATCACTCGAATCCGAGTCGGAACTCGACGACGCAGGCTTCCCGACCGCCTTCTTTCCACCAGCAACTACACCACTAACAGCCTTCCCCACAGATGGAGACGCCTTCACCAACGCAGGCTTCTTACTCGCCGGCTGCTCGTCATCACTAGAATCGGAGTCCGAGCTCGACGGAGCGGCCGCAACTTTCTTCTTCTGCACAGACTGAGCAGCACCTTGTGGGACAACTTTCATCCCCGTCTTAACACCACTAACAACTACACCAACAGGTTTCTTCGCTGGTCCGGCATTACCCTCATCACTCGAATCCGAGTCGGAACTCGACGACGCAGGCTTCCCGACCACCTTCTTACCACCAGCAACTACACCACTAACAGCCTTCCCCACAGATGGAGACGCCTTCACCAACGCAGGCTTCTTACTCGCCGGCTGCTCGTCATCACTAGAATCAGAGTCCGAGCTCGACGGAGCGGCCGCAACTTTCTTCTTCTGCACAGACTGAGCAGCACCTTGTGGAACAACTCCCATTCCCGTCTTAACACCACTAACAACTACACCAACAGGTTTCTTCGCTGGTCCGGCATTACCCTCATCACTCGAATCCGAGTCGGAACTCGACGACGCAGGCTTCCCGACCACCTTCTTACCACCAGCAACTACACCACTAACAGCCTTCCCCACAGATGGAGACGCCTTCACCAACGCAGGCTTCTTACTCGCCGGCTGCTCGTCATCACTAGAATCAGAGTCCGAGCTCGACGGAGCGGCCGCAACTTTCTTCTTCTGCACAGACTGAGCAGCACCTTGTGGGACAACTCCCATCCCCGTCTTAACACCACTAACAACTACACCAACAGGTTTCTTCGCTGATCCGACATTACCCTCATCACTCGAATCCGAGTCGGAACTCGACGACGCAGGCTTCCCGACCACCTTCTTACCACCAGCAACTACACCACTAACAGCCTTCCCCACAGATGGAGACGCCTTCACCAACGCAGGCTTCTTACTCGCCGGCTGCTCGCCATCACTAGAATCGGAGTCCGAGCTCGACGGAGCGGCCGCAACTTTCTTCTTCTGCACAGACTGAGCAGCACCTTGTGGGACAACTCCCATCCCCGTCTTAACACCACTAACAACTACACCAACAGGTTTCTTCGCTGGTCCGGCATTACCCTCATCACTCGAATCCGAGTCGGAACTCGACGACGCAGGCTTCCCGACCACCTTCTTGCCACCAGCAACTACCCCACTAACAGCCTTCCCCACAGATGGAGACGCCTTCACCAACGCAGGCTTCTTACTCGCCGGCTGCTCGTCATCACTAGAATCAGAGTCCGAGCTCGACGGAGCGGCCGCAACTTTCTTCTTCTGCACAGACTGAGCAGCACCTTGTGGGACAACTCCCATCCCCGTCTTAACACCACTAACAACTACACCAACAGGTTTCTTCGCTGATCCGGCATTACCCTCATCACTCGAATCCGAGTCGGAACTCGACGACGCAGGCTTCCCGACCACCTTCTTTCCACCAGCAACTACACCACTAACAGCCTTCCCCACAGATGGAGACGCCTTCACCAACGCAGGCTTCTTACTCGCCGGCTGCTCGTCATCACTAGAATCAGAGTCCGAGCTCGACGGAGCGGCCGCAACTTTCTTCTTCTGCACAGACTGAGCAGCACCTTGTGGGACAACTCCCATCCCCGTCTTAACACCACTAACAACTACACCAACAGGTTTCTTCGCTGATCCGGCATTACCCTCATCACTCGAATCCGAGTCGGAACTCGACGACGCAGGCTTCCCGACCACCTTCTTACCACCAGCAACTACACCACTAACAGCCTTCCCCACAGATGGAGACGCCTTCACCAACGCAGGCTTCTTACTCGCCGGCTGCTCGTCATCACTAGAATCGGAGTCCGAGCTCGACGGAGCGGCCGCAACTTTCTTCTTCTGCACAGACTGAGCAGCACCTTGTGGGACAACTCCCATCCCCGTCTTAACACCACTAACAACTACACCAACAGGTTTCTTCGCTGATCCGGCATTACCCTCATCACTCGAATCCGAGTCGGAACTCGACGACGCAGGCTTCCCGACCACCTTCTTTCCACCAGCAACTACACCACTAACAGCCTTCCCCACAGATGGAGACGCCTTCACCAACGCAGGCTTCTTACTCGCCGGCTGCTCGTCATCACTAGAATCGGAGTCCGAGCTCGACGGAGCGGCCGCAACTTTCTTCTTCTGCACAGACTGAGCAGCACCTTGTGGGACAACTCCCATCCCCGTCTTAACACCACTAACAACTACACCAACAGGTTTCTTCGCTGATCCGGCATTACCCTCATCACTCGAATCCGAGTCGGAACTCGACGACGCAGGCTTCCCGACCACCTTCTTACCACCAGCAACTACACCACTAACAGCCTTCCCCACAGATGGAGACGCCTTCACCAACGCAGGCTTCTTACTCGCCGGCTGCTCGTCATCACTAGAATCAGAGTCCGAGCTCGACGGAGCGGCCGCAACTTTCTTCTTCTGCACAGACTGAGCAGCACCTTGTGGGACAACTCCCATCCCCGTCTTAACACCACTAACAACTACACCAACAGGTTTCTTCGCTGATCCGGCATTACCCTCATCACTCGAATCCGAGTCGGAACTCGACGACGCAGGCTTCCCGACCACCTTCTTTCCACCAGCAACTACACCACTAACAGCCTTCCCCACAGATGAAGACGCCTTCACCAACGCAGGCTTCTTACTCGCCGGCTGCTCGTCATCACTAGAATCGGAGTCCGAGCTCGACGGAGCGGCCGCAACTTTCTTCTTCTGCACAGACTGAGCAGCACCTTGTGGGACAACTCCCATCCCCGTCTTAACACCACTAACAACTACACCAACAGGTTTCTTCGCTGATCCGGCATTACCCTCATCACTCGAATCCGAGTCGGAACTCGACGACGCAGGCTTCCCGACCACCTTCTTTCCACCAGCAACTACACCACTAACAGCCTTCCCCACAGATGGAGACGCCTTCACCAACGCAGGCTTCTTACTCGCCGGCTGCTCGTCATCACTAGAATCGGAGTCCGAGCTCGACGGAGCGGCCGCAACTTTCTTCTTCTGCACAGACTGAGCAGCACCTTGTGGGACAACTCCCATCCCCGTCTTAACACCACTAACAACTACACCAACAGGTTTCTTCGCTGATCCGGCATTACCCTCATCACTCGAATCCGAGTCGGAACTCGACGACGCAGGCTTCCCGACCACCTTCTTACCACCAGCAACTACACCACTAACAGCCTTCCCCACAGATGGAGACGCCTTCACCAACGCAGGCTTCTTACTCGCCGGCTGCTCGTCATCACTAGAATCGGAGTCCGAGCTCGACGGAGCGGCCGCAACTTTCTTCTTCTGCACAGACTGAGCAGCACCTTGTGGGACAACTCCCATCCCGTCTTAACACCACTAACAACTACACCAACAGGTTTCTTCGCTGATCCGGCATTACCCTCATCACTCGAATCCGAGTCGGAACTCGACGACGCAGGCTTCCCGACCACCTTCTTTCCACCAGCAACTACACCACTAACAGCCTTCCCCACAGATGGAGACGCCTTCACCAACGCAGGCTTCTTACTCGCCGGCTGCTCGTCATCACTAGAATCAGAGTCCGAGCTCGACGGAGCGGCCGCAACTTTCTTCTTCTGCACAGACTGAGCAGCACCTTGTGGGACAACTCCCATCCCCGTCTTAACACCACTAACAACTACACCAACAGGTTTCTTCGCTGATCCGGCATTACCCTCATCACTCGAATCCGAGTCGGAACTCGACGACGCAGGCTTCCCGACCACCTTCTTTCCACCAGCAACTACACCACTAACAGCCTTCCCCACAGATGGAGACGCCTTCACCAACGCAGGCTTCTTACTCGCCGGCTGCTCGTCATCACTAGAATCGGAGTCCGAGCTCGACGGAGCGGCCGCAACTTTCTTCTTCTGCACAGACTGAGCAGCACCTTGTGGGACAACTCCCATCCCCGTCTTAACACCACTAACAACTACACCAACAGGTTTCTTCGCTGATCCGGCATTACCCTCATCACTCGAATCCGAGTCGGAACTCGACGACGCAGGCTTCCCGACCACCTTCTTTCCACCAGCAACTACACCACTAACAGCCTTCCCCACAGATGGAGACGCCTTCACCAACGCAGGCTTCTTACTCGCCGGCTGCTCGTCATCACTAGAATCGGAGTCCGAGCTCGACGGAGCGGCCGCAACTTTCTTCTTCTGCACAGACTGAGCAGCACCTTGTGGGACAACTCCCATCCCCGTCTTAACACCACTAACAACTACACCAACAGGTTTCTTCGCTGATCCGGCATTACCCTCATCACTCGAATCCGAGTCGGAACTCGACGACGCAGGCTTCCCGACCACCTTCTTACCACCAGCAACTACACCACTAACAGCCTTCCCCACAGATGGAGACGCCTTCACCAACGCAGGCTTCTTACTCGCCGGCTGCTCGTCATCACTAGAATCAGAGTCCGAGCTCGACGGAGCGGCCGCAACTTTCTTCTTCTGCACAGACTGAGCAGCACCTTGTGGGACAACTCCCATCCCCGTCTTAACACCACTAACAACTACACCAACAGGTTTCTTCGCTGATCCGGCATTACCCTCATCACTCGAATCCGAGTCGGAACTCGACGACGCAGGCTTCCCGACCACCTTCTTACCACCAGCAACTACACCACTAACAGCCTTCCCCACAGATGGAGACGCCTTCACCAACGCAGGCTTCTTACTCGCCGGCTGCTCGTCATCACTAGAATCAGAGTCCGAGCTCGACGGAGCGGCCGCAACTTTCTTCTTCTGCACAGACTGAGCAGCACCTTGTGGGACAACTCCCATCCCCGTCTTAACACCACTAACAACTACACCAACAGGTTTCTTCGCTGATCCGGCATTACCCTCATCACTCGAATCCGAGTCGGAACTCGACGACGCAGGCTTCCCGACCACCTTCTTACCACCAGCAACTACACCACTAACAGCCTTCCCCACAGATGGAGACGCCTTCACCAACGCAGGCTTCTTACTCGCCGGCTGCTCGTCATCACTAGGATCAGAGTCCGAGCTCGACGGAGCGGCCGCAACTTTCTTCTTCTGCACAGACTGAGCAGCACCTTGTGGGACAACTCCCATCCCCGTCTTAACACCACTAACAACTACACCAACAGGTTTCTTCGCTGGTCCGGCATTACCCTCATCACTCGAATCCGAGTCGGAACTCGACGACGCAGGCTTCCCGACCACCTTCTTACCACCAGCAACTACACCACTAACAGCCTTCCCCACAGATGGAGACGCCTTCACCAACGCAGGCTTCTTACTCGCCGGCTGCTCGTCATCACTAGAATCAGAGTCCGAGCTCGACGGAGCGGCCGCAACTTTCTTCTTCTGCACAGACTGAGCAGCACCTTGTGGGACAACTCCCATCCCCGTCTTAACACCACTAACAACTACACCAACAGGTTTCTTCGCTGATCCGGCATTACCCTCATCACTCGAATCCGAGTCGGAACTCGACGACGCAGGCTTCCCGACCACCTTCTTTCCACCAGCAACTACACCACTAACAGCCTTCCCCACAGATGGAGACGCCTTCACCAACGCAGGCTTCTTACTCGCCGGCTGCTCGTCATCACTAGAATCGGAGTCCGAGCTCGATGGAGCGGCCGCAACTTTCTTCTTCTGCACAGACTGAGCAGCACCTTGTGGGACAACTCCCATCCCCGTCTTAACACCACTAACAACTACACCAACAGGTTTCTTCGCTGATCCGGCATTACCCTCATCACTCGAATCCGAGTCGGAACTCGACGACGCAGGCTTCCCGACCACCTTCTTTCCACCAGCAACTACACCACTAACAGCCTTCCCCACAGATGGAGACGCCTTCACCAACGCAGGCTTCTTACTCGCCGGCTGCTCGTCATCACTAGAATCGGAGTCCGAGCTCGACGGAGCGGCCGCAACTTTCTTCTTCTGCACAGACTGAGCAGCACCTTGTGGGACAACTCCCATCCCCGTCTTAACACCACTAACAACTACACCAACAGGTTTCTTCGCTGATCCGGCATTACCCTCATCACTCGAATCCGAGTCGGAACTCGACGACGCAGGCTTCCCGACCACCTTCTTTCCACCAGCAACTACACCACTAACAGCCTTCCCCACAGATGGAGACGCCTTCACCAACGCAGGCTTCTTACTCGCCGGCTGCTCGTCATCACTAGAATCGGAGTCCGAGCTCGACGGAGCGGCCGCAACTTTCTTCTTCTGCACAGACTGAGCAGCACCTTGTGGGACAACTCCCATCCCCGTCTTAACACCACTAACAACTACACCAACAGGTTTCTTCGCTGATCCGGCATTACCCTCATCACTCGAATCCGAGTCGGAACTCGACGACGCAGGCTTCCCGACCACCTTCTTTCCACCAGCAACTACACCACTAACAGCCTTCCCCACAGATGGAGACGCCTTCACCAACGCAGGCTTCTTACTCGCCGGCTGCTCGTCATCACTAGAATCGGAGTCCGAGCTCGACGGAGCGGCCGCAACTTTCTTCTTCTGCACAGACTGAGCAGCACCTTGTGGGACAACTCCCATCCCCGTCTTAACACCACTAACAACTACACCAACAGGTTTCTTCGCTGATCCGGCATTACCCTCATCACTCGAATCCGAGTCGGAACTCGACGACGCAGGCTTCCCGACCACCTTCTTTCCACCAGCAACTACACCACTAACAGCCTTCCCCACAGATGGAGACGCCTTCACCAACGCAGGCTTCTTACTCGCCGGCTGCTCGTCATCACTAGAATCGGAGTCCGAGCTCGACGGAGCGGCCGCAACTTTCTTCTTCTGCACAGACTGAGCAGCACCTTGTGGGACAACTCCCATCCCCGTCTTAACACCACTAACAACTACACCAACAGGTTTCTTCGCTGATCCGGCATTACCCTCATCACTCGAATCCGAGTCGGAACTCGACGACGCAGGCTTCCCGACCACCTTCTTTCCACCAGCAACTACACCACTAACAGCCTTCCCCACAGATGGAGACGCCTTCACCAACGCAGGCTTCTTACTCGCCGGCTGCTCGTCATCACTAGAATCAGAGTCCGAGCTCGACGGAGCGGCCGCAACTTTCTTCTTCTGCACAGACTGAGCAGCACCTTGTGGGACAACTCCCATCCCCGTCTTAACACCACTAACAACTACACCAACAGGTTTCTTCGCTGGTCCGGCATTACCCTCATCACTCGAATCCGAGTCGGAACTCGACGACGCAGGCTTCCCGACCACCTTCTTTCCACCAGCAACTACACCACTAACAGCCTTCCCCACAGATGGAGACGCCTTCACCAACGCAGGCTTCTTACTCGCCGGCTGCTCGTCATCACTAGAATCGGAGTCCGAGCTCGACGGAGCGGCCGCAACTTTCTTCTTCTGCACAGACTGAGCAGCACCTTGTGGGACAACTCCCATCCCCGTCTTAACACCACTAACAACTACACCAACAGGTTTCTTCGCTGATCCGGCATTACCCTCATCACTCGAATCCGAGTCGGAACTCGACGACGCAGGCTTCCCGACCACCTTCTTTCCACCAGCAACTACACCACTAACAGCCTTCCCCACAGATGGAGACGCCTTCACCAACGCAGGCTTCTTACTCGCCGACTGCTCGTCATCACTAGAATCCGAGTCCGAGCTCGATGATGAATACTTTTTAGTCTTGTCTCTATATCTATTCTTGGGTTTGTGTTCTTCGGATGAATTTTCCAGTTTATTGTGTATATTTCCTTTGCGGTTATGAAAATCGATGTTATGTTCATTTGCTTGAGGTTTAGGTTCACTTTTTCTATTGAGAATAGTGGAATGCGAATTTTTCAACGTGAATTTTTTAGTTGGTGTCGGATATTCAGATATTTTATTGTGACTTTTCTCTTTACCTTCGCATTGATTTTTTCCATTCATATTTAAAGCCCCAGCTCTCCTGAGTTTTATTGTGTTCTAATTGTTATTTGCCTTTTCTATATTTTTAAAAGTTTTAATTAAAATTGGTGAGGTTTATACTGAATCAAGCAATATACGTGACAAAAGTGGCAATTAATTCTCAGCTATTTACTTCTTATTATTAAAAATCCTGAGTAGAAGCTTCATACTTTAAGGTACTATGTACAAGCTTGCTTCGGTTTAGGCACCCGGGCAGTATCACAGCCCTCACACATATCGAATGAGATTTGTGTGGTGAATATGTATTTGGTGCCTTTTTGTACCAATATCTCTGTTGAAATAAATAAAAAAGCTTACTTGTACGTTCATTTAAAATTATTCAAGACAGCAGTTGGTCAATACTATCTAGCTATCCCTATTATAAGCATAAAAATCGCTCAAATATTGATCAACTATCATTTAACAGTCAGTAACTGATATCAGAATAATAACTAATTTAATATCCAATGACAGATATGGATACTAATTACGTGAAATGACGAATCATTTCCAAGGGATAGAAGTGGAGCGATTTAACCGTTAAAACGTGAATGTACTATTGCTAAGTGGAACTATCCTTTGGAGTATATCCTTTTGAGCGCGAACTAGTGCTATGACACGGACGCAATAAATTATATCTCTTGAATTTCGGCACGTCACATTATTGCGTCTACTAATATCTTTTTGGCTAAATTGGAATTCAGGACTTCAAGGTTGGTAAAATGGGCAGAAAGATGTAACTGTGAGTCTAGGCTCGGATGAATACACACAGTCCGTAATTGACTGCATGTGATATTCTTGCTTCGGCTCCAAGAACTGATACCGAATTCTCGAGAGCTCTCATCTCGAAGTAATTTATTATTATTTGCTTTCCCCATAACTTGAAGATTGAGGCAAATATTTGTTATTTCGTGGGCAATCTCTTATATCAGATTACGAATTCAACGTCTAGTTCCTTTAGTTTCTCTGATATGAGACCACTGACTTACTACAAATAGCTGGAAGTATTCCAAACGAGTCGACCCATTATGCAAAAAACAGGCGATACACCTATGCAGTCATTTTTGTAAATGATTAGAGATTCGGATACAGTAATTTAGTGTCTTGTTGGGATGTAGACTACTACCTACAAAATTTTCGGCTTAGGAATACATATGAGCTTTACATGGAGAAAAAAACGTCCCGTAATAATCACGGGAAGAGTCGCTATTGGAATTTCCAATGGGTCAATAGGCAGAAATAATGTACACTTTACTAACCGGTGAACCGAACACAAAAACCACATACCGTCAACACGAACGCGAAACCACGCATAACACTTTAAAGTGCCCTCCACACTCATATGAACATTAAAACACAATAGGTAGCAGAAAGGCTGCTTGCCAGAAAAAAGGAGTAATGGGTGTCCCGTTTCAGGTCAAGACCAGTAAATATATGTTTTAAAGGAACCTTTTTCTTTCATTATAAGTTGGTATCGGATGTTTAGACAAATTAGCAACTTAGTTTTTTCTACTATACAAAATAATCTGATATAAATGGTCTAAATGGTTCCAGTGTTTGACTACCCGCAGAGAATGGAAAGCGTACCTGCGGTCAAGTGGGCTATGGTGTGCATCTAGTTTTTGGATGTTGCCTCTAAACTGATGCCGCCAGCCACACCCTTCAACTGTGCACGCTGTTGACGATCGACAGTTTTGATACATGGTTTACCTTCGAAAAAACATCGCGCAAATTGTGCGTAAGAACGGATTGGTTACTTACCCTAAAATTCTTATCTTTAAACTTCTGGCATTGATCTAAAGAATGATCTTTGAGCCCTCCATACAAGATGAACTACGTAAGGAAACATCGTCATCACTAGTACTTACATACAATATCTTCGCTGCATCGTAATCTGAACCAATTTTTCCATTCAAACCACCAGTATCCCTAATGCAACTATTTCTACCACGGTTGAAAAGTAGGCCATATCTGGTATTAGCTAGATCAGCTTGTTCCTTTACAAACTCAGTAATATCAGCAAACAGAGGCTCTAGACCTCCTCTGATAATCATATAAGCCACATTTAGCCACTTTTGTTGAACATGCGTTGGTAATTTCAGAATCATAGTTTCAATAGTTCTGGAAGAGGTAAAGTCGGAAACGTAATTTATCAGTTCGATAGTAAGACCACTTGGATCTCTCGAGATAATCTTCTCAAACCACCTGTTTGATTCCTTATATTGGGAAAGTTTGACGAATTGTCGATAAACGTGCCTGCTTTAGTGATTAACGATGACCTATCTCCGGTTCAAGCATAGTGCAATGAAGGATAGTGGCTCTCGATCTTCCTGTCACATTATTGAATCAAGTAATTCAACTTAGCTCTAAACCCAATATTCTCACTCCGGATGCAGTATTCGAAATTTTTTATAAAATTCTAATGATTTATAGGTGCACCATCAAATTTCAAGATCTCTCTCTGTGGTGATTACAGCTTTTCTAATATTGCATTCGTGTGATCTTATCCGCAACGCAACCATGTAAACTTAATGTATCGCACACTGTCATTTGTGCGTTCAAGCAACCACAGATTTTGTCATTTCATAATGTTTTTTAATTAACTAACTAGATTATGTAGCTAATTTTGCTCTGTTTTTGATTTTTATTCGCCACGTCTGACTGCGTTACACTGCACGTCCATTGTACGCTGGGATGATGTCTCAAGTCATAGTGAGTTTAATCTCATAGTTGATTGTTTCCAGATGGACCTTCAATGCATAATGTTACTGAAAAAAGGTTTGTTGTACTGTAAACTATGTTTTTATGAACAACTGACAGTCTGAAAGCAATACATATATATCCTTTGTCTTCTGTTAGGTAAGTTCGACTGGCCTATATTTCGTGTTTCGGTTTTATCGTCTTAATTATTTCCATTTAACTACTTTAAGCAACGTGTCTGTGCAAATGAAACAATAACTATGACACCTGCTTAGTTTAGTATTCTTGGTTGTCGTATAATTCAGTTTAGTTGAATGACTTATGGTATACTTAAGTATAGTGCTTGAAGCCTGTAACGAAACAGATCAGTTTAGTAAGAAGAGTTGCCTATTTCTGATGAGTATACTGATTCATATCAGTCTGATTAAAAATACGAAAAAATACCTTTGATGCTGTTGCTGTCATACATTATAAGATAGCGATAAGTATGTTTGTTGTTTATTTCTAGACTGTACATCTATCACTGACCATATTTCATGATCACTGTCACTAAACAATTTCCCCAGCAATAACATCGGTGGCAAGATAGCTAAGCGTCTGAGCTTTTAGTTGCCCCTAAAACAGCAGTATACAGTGTTAGAAGATGAGTGTTCTGTGTCTCAATTAAATGCAGCTGTCTGTGGACAAATGTTAAGAATCTTTTTGACAACTGGGACTTTTAGTTTATCAGACACTAACTCTGCTTGTATGTCTTCCTGTTAAACTAGACGCATATGCATGGGAATACTTAAATGGAAGCAAAATAATAAAACCATTGCAATACGGTATTAATCCCATGTTATGCTTTGCACAAGTAATAGTAGCTGACCTTATCTAATATTCATGAACTCAAGGTAAATCACAACTTCATAAATTCTTTGCTAAAAAACATGTAATTTGGTTATTTATCTATCACACATTTCTGACTAAATTCATCACTATTTTTTCATTTAGAATGCAACAGGAGTGAGCCTTCACAAATCCTAAAAACTACTTCGCCCTTGGAACTATGGCCCTGTGGAACTGTTTACGGGAGACCCAACTAACAGCAGATTATAAAAAGGATGCTGGACGTCCATTTTAGTCTCACAACCACTTCCAGTATTTTTTGACTTCTTCTACTCTTTCGTTTGGAAAAAAACAACAAAAACTGCGGCTCAGCATTACCAATACAACTTTTAAACGGGAACTTGGTTTAAACCTTTGTTTGATATTCGATTCTTAATGAAAGTTCTTGAATAAATTTTTGAATCTAATGCTACTTTGTTTTACCTACTTAATCGTTGCAAGAAACTTGTGATAAGCGAGCCTCAGCACCTAGTTCATGTGTTAAAATGGTTGTGGACTGAGTAGATGCTTTCGCTCAACAGGCTTCTATGTCTAGTAGCAGGCGATCACCAAAACCTCCAGGCAGGAACCTAGGTATATTAACAATAAAAGAGGGAAAAAAATTGGTAAATCATAGTATGATTCTATCCTTAAGAATATATCCAGTAGCTTGGCGGGCAGCGAATTCCAGCACTTGACAACTCCTAAGGAGTAGAAGTTGTGTCTCCAGTTTGTGGGTGTTACCCCTTACGTTAGTGTTGAAACTAAGTTTAAGTAGGTGTTTAAGAGGATGTCCAGAAGTGTTAAGGATACTGTAAGCCATTAGAAGGTCACCTTAAAGACGTCTATACTCTAATGGGTAAAGTCTAAGTTATTGGATGCGCTCTTCATAAGGTGATTTAGTACATATCTTCGTCATTTTCATGGAAAACCTACAAACTCGGGTCCTCTCACAACTTATTCTAATCACCATGAGTTGTCACGGTAGCTGATGGACGGACACGCGTTACACATCCTAACCGTCCCGTGTCTAATCTCATAGCTTCTTATTCAAATGCCATATGATAAGCAAGTAATGCCGCTACCCACACTAATGGAACACTAGTAACTCAAAGGCACTCTGTATGGTACCTTACATTGGTCTACGCACTCGCTTAGCGCTTTAGTGAGAATATTAATACAGTCCTGCTAAAAATCCCATGAACCCCCCTATCTCCATCAAAACAAATAAGTCTGTATTTGCTGCATATAGCAATTTTATTTTTCAAAAGTAAGATATAACAGTTAGAATTAGAGTAAAATGGCAGTATACAGCAGATGCATGTGGTACATGTATCCATCGATTAACTGAAATAGAGAATATGGATATTAGATTAACAGGCTCATTTAGAAAGACTAGTGTCTACTTTGAACTTACCGCGTGAGAAAGTTATACTGGAACTATGAATAATGTAGAATCTAGTCTCCCAGGGCGTATGAAGCAATCAAACTGGAAGGCAGTTGTCTAAAAATAATTCGAATATGAAGGTGAAAATTTCCAGGTATTTTTCATCGTAAGGGTGAAAATATTAGGTACCGGTTGATGTCATACAGTAAAAAACACAGATTTGCGGGTGGTGAAGTATGATCTATAAAAAAGTGAGCTTAATAACAATTAATTACCTTTTTACTCCCTGATCATGACCTTCGGCTTCCTTTTATGGCCGAAACAGCAAACATACACTACACACTGATAGCGGATTTCCGGCTTTTCAATGTTAGGCTTGCTTTAACACACTATGTAATGAGTACAACCCCTCTATTACTGCTATATGACATATTTTTAATAACAAACCGTCTTCAATAGATTGGTAGTATCTGTGACTTCGTCAATGGTTATCGGAAGTCTGAGTTCTTTCGAAAACAATACTGGTATCCGTTACTGCTGGGCAATCAGTATTAGTTTGACTCGTTAGTGGGATAGTGTTGTCCATAATACTGAAGAAAATTAAAAACTGGAGATTGTTTCCTTTCATTTTGCCGATGACATCATAAAGGACGGTTAGGAACGAACATGCGGACAGTTAGTCACAGGCAGCAACAACAATTATTCTAGCTAGAGAAACGAACTTCGGCTTTGGATATCTAGAGAACAAGTCAAAACGAAACCGATTACCATTTTAAAACATAAGACGAACCAGCTTGGCTGAAGAAATACATTGGCTTGATAAGCGGCAGCAAAAACCCAGAAAACAAAGCTAAATCAGAAGAAAATTTCGCTCCAACAATTAGAAAATTACATTAACTTCTGCACTTTAGCACACTGCAACATTAAATTACATAACCACGCAAAAGAAATAGCTGAAAGAAGCACATAACGAAGAAAGCCGACCGCCATTGCCTACAAAGATGGCGGATATAATAATTCCCGCCTCATCCTGATTGGTTGCTAAGCTGAATAGCACATTTACGAAAATGAGTTGCGTTTAATTGCAGCCTTGCATTCTCGCCGTTGCTTACTGATTGGTCGAAACCTTCACTTCCCTGGCGACGTAACTTTTCTAGTTCGATTTCTTCCTTCAGATTGGGTTATATCTAACCTAGCTAACTCAAGTTCTATTTGGCCACTGGTTTGAGGTTCATCATTTTCAAGTTGGTCTTCGTCATAATCTCCCAGATGATGGGGTAATAACTCAGAAATCTCATCAAAACTGTAGTACTTATTGGATGTCAATTCAGTAAGTATATCGAATTTACTGTTCGAGAATTTTTAATAAGTAATTTCTTACAAGTGTAAT